GTTATTATCGGTCCTAGAGTGACGCAGTCCTAGAGCGCCGTCGGTCTATGTAAGTATTAGTTTACTGTTAATTAGATAATCTCATGGGGAAATGTAGGGATAAGAAAGTAAAAAGGTGGGGTATACGTGACATAACCGCTCAGGTTGTAACACTAATTTATTCTAATTAAGTTTAAATGCCTAGTAGCAGTACTCTAATAGGTATACTGCTATAAATCCTATCTATTATAGACTCTGAATCTTACTTTCTGCTTCTTATCTCTTATTTACTAGTCTAAATGCATAAATAAGTTCTTATTTAAAGTTCTTATATTTATTATAGACTAGTCTAGTTATATCTTTTTATTTATGCCTAGGGTTATTAATATAGTCTTAAATAATTAATTCTATAAGTCTCTATGCCTTGCCTTTAAGGAGGCTTATAGTATATTAAGTTTTTATTTTATTTATATTAAATTAAATAGGGTAATATAGTTAATAACTGCAGAGGGCTATAAGGAATCCTTAGAGGTATTTAGCGTTTTTATTATATAAGTTAGGCTACCTAGGTTATAGGATTTGTCCGGGGTCTTTTCCTATTATAATAAGGGTAGCAGTATATTTAATATATTCCTTATATAAGCGTTAAGTTTCTTTGGCTTATTTTCTAAGGCCTTTAGCGATTATTATAAGGTTATAGACCTTGCTTTTAAGGTTCTTAATCTTATTTTAGGCTATAATTGAATTTCTTTTAGTATTATTTAGGAGTTTATTATACTATTTTCCTAGATATTTATTATAACCCAACAGATAATTACATAGGCCCTACTATTTTTTCACTAATTATATCTTTAACCACCTACACTAGCTTAGTTATACCGTGAGCCGCTAGGATCTATGACTTATAGCTTATAATAAGACTTATAATATAAGCCTTAACTTACGGCATAAGCTTAACGCTTAACCGTAAGCTATTACAAGTATATATATATTCACTTAGTATTAGTTAATATACTTAGCTTAATAGCTATTAATAAAATATCTTTACCTAAATATGCCTAACCTGCCTTATTTACTATTAAGAGATATAATACTTCGCAATCGCTTAGTATTATATGCCCTACGACTCTGCCAATATAAACTTAGAATAGACTAGTTATCCCTTAGAAAACCCAACCGTCACATACCTGCTCTATTTACTATTAAGAGACGTAATACTTCGCTATACTTAGTATTACAATGCCCTATATATCTGCCAATATAAACCTAATATGGACTAGTTTATCCCTTGGGAATTACAACTGTTATATAAATAGTTATAAAAGTTATTACTTTATTAAATTTAAGAGATATTAAAAGGATAATAAGATTATTATACTTTATATGCTTACTTATACCTTTTATTTACTTTAGCCTTTTAATATTAAGTACTTTAGGCTATTAAAAAGGCATATAGTTAATAAATAGAATATCTAATTAAATACTCTATAACCTATATTTTAAAGATAGAGTTCTTTAATGCCTTTTATACCGCTTTTAAAGCTACTTTTATTAAAAGTAATATATAAGGAGGTTTTAAGGAGGCTAGGCTTACTCCTTTTAACCCGGATTATATTATCTTAAAGCTTAATATATAGCTATAGACTTTAATGCCTTTAGTAAAGGTAGCTTAACCTTTTACTCCCTAGACTTTAAAGACTCTAATAATAGCTAATAAGGCCTAGTCTTAGACTAAATACCTTAAGAGTTAAATTAGAATACATTATAGTAGCTCCCTAGAGTTAATTATTAAGGCTATCTAGTCTCTTATTAAGGCAATAAATAGAACTAAATATAAGATTACCCTTATAAGAAATAATATTTAAAACCTTTAGGAGGGAAATAAGAAGCTAAGCTAGCGCTAAAGGTTAAGAAGAACTAGAGTAATAAAAGGAGATATTATAACTATAGATAAAATATTATAAGTAATTAATCAGATAGATATTAATATGCAGGTAGTAGGCGAGTTATTGAGAAGTGGTGGTTAAGGAAGGTCGGTTAGACTGGGTATTCGGCGATGTGGTGTATGCGGCAAGACCGGGCATAATGCAAGAACCTGTCAGGAGGTTCCGGATGTGACGGTTGTGATTCCTAAGGGATAAACTAGTCCATATTAGGTTTATATTGGCAGATGCATAGGGTATTATAATATTAAGTATAATAAAGTGTTATATTTCTTAATAGTAAATAGAGTAAGTAAGGTTTATTTAGGTAAAGATATTTTATTAATAGCTAGTAAGCTAAGTTCTATTTAATACTAAAAGAGTATATATATATATAAGGGTTTATTTATATAGTAATAAGCCTTAGGAAAAGGCTTATAATATTAAAGGTAAGCTATAGGGTAGGTTATATATATATATAAGTAAGCTTGGTAAGGCTTACTCTGGTGTAGGTAAGCTTAGTGTTGGTTGGAGGGAAATTGTGGGGCATACGTGATGTAACCGCCGAGATTGTAACACCGGAGGCATCTGGGGAAGAGTATAGTGAGTGATTTTAATTGATCATATGATTAATTCTAATCTTGTTGTGATTTTAAATTTAAAGGTAGAGATTTTTAATCCGCTCGCTTGTCTGATCCGCTCGCTTATCAAATACATTATATTTAATATCACTACTATAATCTCGATCGAGTGCGTATAGGAGACGGCGAACAAGAGGTCTGAATTACAGAACTGAAGGACCATTTTACTAGAAATTCAGATAACATTGACAAGTTACATTGTGTTAAGCAGAGCGGAGACATATACATTTTGAGAATCAGCCCCACACATAACCTCGCAGTTAAAGGAGGGATAGTATAGGATGCATACTGGAAAGCCTTAGGCATATAAGATAATATAAGAAATCTTTGTTTCTTGTAACTACTAAAGATTAAAATGTAAAATAGGATTAATTAAGAAATAAAGCAGTTATTAAATGAGGGATATTATAATAAATTAAGCCTTGCTTTATAGGGCTGTTATAAATAATATAAGTTCAAGATATAAAATCTATTAGTCTGTGTTTTTATTATTTAGGAGGGGGATAAAGAGAGAGAATATAGTTAATTCTTTAACAGCGAAAGTGTAATATGCCCTTATTATAATAACTAGGTAAGGTATCTTTATTATATTAACTTTATATTGATACTATAAGGGTCCTAGGTCTAGTGCATTCTGCGAAATTTTCTCTATTTTAAACCCAACATATTAGCCAGCTAGGTCTTTATTAATTGTGACTTTATCATGTATCAACTTTCTAATCTAGCCTTGTGAGTTACTGTTGAGATATGCAAGAATGATCAAAGAGTTTTATTGACTATAGCGAGGGCTTTTCAATTCTTACTCAAAACTAGCACACCAAACAACGAACCGTTGTTAAACAACATCGAAGGCAAGGAGGAAACCAGCTGTTTGTTTGGAACTGGCATTTACAGCTTTACCTGCCCATAGGAACATCACAATGCCTTAATCCGGGTCCCCACCAAGTTTTTACGCAACCAATGGGCGGCGGTCTTTGCTTTCATCCTCCAAGCATTGGTACTTCGGCGAGCGCGAAAAGACAAGCTGATCGTTCCTTAGCATTTCTTGCTATCAATGGTGGACACTTGTCTTTGGCGAGCAACTTCTGTGCGGCAACACTTTCAAATTCTCTTCGTCCAATTGAGTCCAACGTTGAAAGCCTTAATGCTTGACTCCTCTGCTTTTACAAGCCAAAAAGATATGTTCTTCCACATTGCTTAGGTATTCAAAATCTTGCACAACATCCAGACAACGAATGAAACTCAACAGCGGGCTTGAAGTTATCACAATTGAATGTGTTGACTTGCTCCAGGGTAGGGCATCTATAGAGTTCTGATAACTAATTTTAGCACGTTGTAATCGTTGAGGGCGGCACGGACCGTCCACGCGAGCGAACTGGGTTGGGGATAAAGCCATTAAAGACAGATATACTTCACTTCCAGGAGATAACTGGTCGTCTCTTTCCGGACCCGATCTGCATAACAAACATCACTCAGGCTCGTACATCAGGATCGTCCACTGACTACTGTTATAGCTATAGCTGAGATATGAATTAGATATAATGTGACATAGCTTGGTAAAAATGCGCTAAGAAAGAGAGTTCTTTTAATGAGATCGCCTCGTGCTAATTCAATGGTTGGAATTGATGTGCCATGATACAGGGTTGAGGAGATCAAACATGGTAGAAGTGACTCGATACGGAGATAATATTCGGCACAAGCTACGTGGTGGCGCCAAGAGAACAGCAAGGTTCGAGATTCAGCCCCAGAGCCTCGTGATGTAAATTGTGAAATGGGTTGCAAATACCACCCCACCGATGAAGTAACTATCTTCAGTATTGGAACTTATTTTCTGGCATGATCCCATTATTGCATGGCTAGGGGTGGCTTAAAACACCACTACAAGTGAAAAGATGTTGGGCTTATTTATAGACGCCAAGATGAGCGAAGTTCTGAAAATATGTCTAATTATCCCTTGTCACATTTCATCAATATTGTATACTAGTTCACGCATCCAACGAAATCGTTCAATTGATAACCAATGGCTTGAAGCGGTCAATTCTCTGCTAGGAGAAGTCCATTCGCTAACCGCAGGCGTCTGCCTCTTCCAGACTAAGTGCACTGAAGTTTACTTGGCATTCTCTACACGGCCTAATTTAGAACCTCAGTTGTTTTCAAGCCCCCAACCAAGGCCTTAGAGAGAAAACCATTAACAGAAATAGAAAATGAAAGTTGAGGAGTTATAAAAAGAATAGATATCCTACCTTGTAATTAAATTCCCTTTTATTCCTATTACAATTTTTTCTTCATTTTACTATTCCCTCATAATATCCCCGACAATCATTTCATTTTTAATCTCTTAGACTTTCCTCTAAGTCAATTCTTGAAAGTTCAATCCATACCAATCATGACTATACCAAGACAATCCGAGTTCCTAATCCGCTAGATCTGTATTTTGGAGGAGGAATACTCCACAGCGATGGACGTTTTGGACGAAGACTACGGCACCACCGAGAAAGCGAATTTCGTCTTTGGCAACAACGACGAAAACACGTACCAACTGGGACGAATTGGAGATCATTTTGTTGTCATCAACTGTCCCCGAACCGGAGAGTATGGTCTGATCAAGGCATGCAAGACTGCTACTAGCATGAAGAGCACCATTCCGTGCATCCGCTACATTCTGCTCGTTGGAATAGGCGGCGGAACTCCAACTACAAATGTCGACATCCGCTTAGGTGATGTTGCCATTGGCACATCGGCCTTTCCATACATGATGAGTAAGGTAATGGGCTTTCGGAAGTTCAAACACACTGGGAACAAAGAGACTCCGCCTGCCGAGCTTCTGCGTGCGGTTACAGAACTGCAACGCCAATTACGGCGTGGGACGTCACTGGAACAAATCATGGATGGTATGTTTGGCCAAAAGACTAAACTAAGAGAGATATACCCTCGTCCATCAGAGGACTATTTACTGATGGGAGACTACTTCCATAAAGATGAAGGGTGAGTCTGCGTTCAACAGCTAGACGATGGCTATAACCTGGTCAATCGCCAACAGCGTGCTCCGGGACAACTTATAAAAACACACGCCGGTACTATCGGATCATCACATGCGGTTATGAAGAGCGGGAAAGTTCGAGATCAACTTTCTGACCAGGAAAAAACCATCTGCTTCGAAATGGAGGCCGTAGCCGTAATGCAGTCAACTCGGAGCATCTCAGTTCGAGGGATATCTGATTACTCGGATGGACACAAGAATGACGTTTAGCACGATTACGCAGGGCTGATAGCGGCGGTGTGTGCGAAGGAACCGTTGAAGTGGCTCATGCCGGAATCTGTATTGCGCTCTACAATGCAGCTGACAGGAGATGAGCTGGAACGCCTTGTCCTAGGGACGGTTGGGATGTAGTTAGAAAGATCAATCAGTCACAGCGAAGGAATGGGAACCCAAAGACACCAATTGAAGAAGTCAACGAGACACTCAGGGAACGCCTTGACTATCTCGAATGTTTCACCAGACACCCGACGCAGGACAAGACGTGTCAAAGAATCTTGGATGCAGCTTTGGAGCTGGCAAACCACGTATCAGAGCACGTTGGAGATAAGCACTCCAACTTTATCCCAAAATACCTCAAATCTGGGTCAAAGTTCGTCGGTACCTTCAATGATATCAAAGGGTCTCGTAAAAAGAACGAGTCCCGCATTTCTAACTATACACACACACATTGGAGTTTCTTATTAGTCGTCTGCACCACACACTGTTTCCAGCGAAGAGCCCTCGCGAGAGAGAGGATGGTCAGATCAAATCAGTAATGACCAACCTCCACGAGTTTCCTATTCTACAGATCCATTGCCTAGGTCTACGCCCGTCCCTGGCGGTGAAAGAACGCCCATATCAGATTTACCTGCTTCAGGTACCTTGCTCCCACAATCTGGCTCTCGCTCTCCGCTACGTCAAGCTCTACTGTTAACCCTCTACCAGAAGTAAATCTATCACCACAGCCTTCCAGGAATGACTGATTAAACACCTACCATTTGACTAGTGCGAGTCTCCGCTCTTCACATCCGAGAGATATGGCTGCGCAAGAAAGGACATTGACATTAAAATACTACCTTTGGTGTATTATCGGTCACTTTCCAAGCTTTGTAATGGGTATATTAGTTTACACGTTGACTTCGTTGAGAATAACCCCGCGCCTGAAACCTGCCGAGACGAGAACGGCAGAAAGATCGGCATTGACATAAGGCTAAAGTGGATGCTTGGCTGATCAGCGTCAACGCAATTACTACGATGTGGTGTTCGTTAAAGGCCACTCCATGTTCCCGTGTCACATGCATAACTACTACCTACCTGCTTTGGGCGATGCTTTCAACTCCTCTTCTGGCGATCCATAGCAGGTAGATCAGGCCATGCCCACTTATCACATTGGTGACGTGGTTTGATCCCCGCTCTTCTTTCTTGGCTCAAATCGTTATTGTAGTATGAATAGGTCTCCGTCTCCTTAAATAGAACCCCAAATCGTTAACATTGACCTTGAAACCAATTTACATCCCCTTCTGGAGCTCCGTTTTTCCATCATGCGTTTTGTCGACGTTGGGCTATGGGCGCTTTGCGCATTCGCCAGTCCTGAGGTACCATCGTCTTGTGTACGTCTCACTTGTATCACTGAACTAATATCTTGCTGACGTTGTTCCTTAGTGCTCGAAGCTTCAAAACATTCCAAAACTTTACGGAAAGGTATATGTGTCTGGCACGGTAGAATATGAAGAGCGATTGGACACCTACTATTCAGCCAACGCTGCTCTCCGCTCGTCCTGCATGGTGATGCCTGGCAGTACCGATGACGTCTCTGTAATTATGAGTGTTATTACTGAAAACAAATGTCCATTCGGTATGAGTAGTGGGAAACACTCTGCGTATCGCAATTCGAATGCTGTCGAGGATGGCATAACTGTTGACTTTGGTAACAAAACTCCGTCCGAATTTTATCACTTGCATCCTCATGAGTATACAGGCTATATGAACAAAACATCATACGATACCAAGACCAAAATTGCCAGTATACAGCCCGGCTCTGTCTGGAGTCACGTGTACGAAGCTCTTGATCACTATGGGGTCGCAGCCGTTGGTGGTCGCGCTTCTCCCGTTGGTGTTGGTGGTTTCATTACTGGTGGAGGTGTTAGTATTGTCTGGCTCTGAAATGAATAGTGCGTACTGATATCGCCAGTACTCATTCCACTCCAATGTCCGAGGCTTTGGTTGTAACCAAGTTGTCAATTTTGAGGTTGTCTTGGCCGACGGCCGGATTGTAAACGCAAATAAGAACGAAAATCCTGACCTATGGAAAAGTCTGAAAGGTGGTTCTGGGAACCTAGGGTTTGTCACCCGGATAGATCAACGTATGAATAGCCTGTCGAGAAATTCGTCAAGATTCTAACAAAGCCTTTTTTGTTCTAGGTGTTGTGGAGTCGAACCAAATATGGGCGGGCTTCATCTTCTTTGACCCATCTCAGAGAGACGTCATCTTTGAAAAATACATTGACTTCGTGGAGAATAATGACAAAGACCTTGCCTCCCAGCTTATCGTTTCTATGCGGTGGGACGGAGAGCAGTACATTCTAGTTTCAGTTGTTTCAAACTCCAATGCCATTGAGGCACCTACTTCGTTCTCCGATCTACTCCGCGTTTCTAGCATCTCTAATACCACAGCCAAAGGAAAGATAGCCGATGTTATGGCACAGTTCACTGGGTCAACTCCGCTTGGACTGTAGTAAGTGGTATTCCTCAAAACGTTTTGTTTACGACTAATCGGTTACAGCGCGAACTGGATGACAGGAACAACCAGAAATGATGTCCGTATCATGAAATTTGTGTACGAGAAGTTTGAGGAGTGTGTCGAGAAGATGAGAGCTCATGCTTCCAACTCCGAGTTCAACGTGCTTGTACAGTTCCAGCCATTTACACCGTCCATGGTGAAACATGGCCAAGAAAGTGGCGGTGATATCCTTGGCCTGGACAGCATCGTCGCCGACGGCCCTGCCATAAATTGGCTCATCGTTGTCACCGCTGATACGAAAGAGGCCCAAGATATGATCGATCCCTTCAGACAAGAGTTCAAGTCTGCCGTTGATTCTTATGCTACGGAGTTAGGCATCAATAAGGACTGGGTCTATCTCAACTACGCAATCGGTGATCAGAACCCAATATCACATTATGGGTCAGATAACATTGGTATCATTCGAAGCGCGTCTAAAAAGTATGATCCGAGTGGTGTTTTTCAGCACCTACGCCGCTCTGGATTTAAGATACCCGAATAAGAGAATAAGAATTGGATTCTAAGAGAAACACAAGAATTTAACAATGATGTTACTAGTACGAACTATCCTTCATTTATTACGCGCAGAGTCCATGTACTTCTATTTTTATTCGCTTTCGCCAGTGTAGAGAACTCGCAGCCTGTTGTTCGAGTTGCCATCTTAAGTTGACATGCTCTTGAAACGATCGGGTGGTAGGCCTCGAGATTGATTAATTTTCACAGCCAAGCACTTGTCGGAAGACCATCATCTCGACACGATTACAGAGAAGCAGCGAGTGACCGATCACGAGTCAGCCATATCAGCTATGGCCACTAACGGGTGGAGCAAGCTATGTCAGATACGGCAACTAACTCGGATGGGACCGGTCTAATCTTAGAAGGCTGGGTACCCGGCTGCCTATTGATTACCTTCTTTGGAGGACCAATCATTTCGGGTTGTCTTAGCTGAGCGATTACCACGTGGTAGATTTATGAAGAGCTACTTAATCAATACCAGGTCAAAAAGGGACCAAGTTTAAAATTCATTACTTTACGAAAACAGGGTAACCCTTGTGACAATCAAGGGACGTTGACGATCTTATCCATTTCTTCGGCAGTTCTATCCGAGCAGGGTTATTCATTGGGTTAACACTATCTGCCAGCCAGGGACCCTGTTACAGCGAGACTCGTAATTGGTTTCAAAAGATCAAACTCTGTACATCCCTGTTTAACTAACTAACTTCAGCAACTGTCAAACCTGTCATCCAACGTCGCCCCTCTTATGATACCTGGATAGCTTAAAGGCTGTTCCCCAGAAACTAGTTAGCCTCAGCTCCCTGTGCACCACACTTCTTCTCGCAGTAGTATGTGAACTATAATTCAAGATTAGCAAAGACTCATTTAACGATCTTATCGCCAGTGAATAATTTCACTTACCTCATCGCCTCCAATATGCCAGTCCCGAGACCCGCAAACAAGACCATCCTATCATGCAATTAGTAGCTTTCAGTAACAACACAACGGTTTTCTTACAAAGTTGCAGTCTGGGCACTTATCCCACTGCTTGTTTCCAGTGTTGCGGTTCCTGTAATAGTTACAAGCGCATCTGGTTGCGTCGGGAAGGATCTCGTAGTTCACGCTCCAGTTGTAGCTGACGCTGAAGGGTGTTCCTCCGTTGGAAGAGTAATGGCGGTTGGTGACGCAAACGGCCTGGTTGTGAAGCTTTGCGGAGGCACTATGATACAGGTGTCAATAGACCAACAAACGATAAATTGTGAAGAGAGGGTGCTTGTTACATCTCTGCAAGGACAAGAAGGGTAGTGACAGTGAAGATCTGCATTGTGAAGGGAGAATTAGGACTGTGAAACTTGAAGTATGATGAGGTTAATGGTATGGTTTCTCACATTGGAGGAGGTGAGCAAGAATCTTTATAGTTTCTATGATACTTAAGACCTTCTACAAACAGATTAGACAGCTCCGAAGCCGGAAGTTCCAACTTACAATTGGAATCTATCCTGTCGATAACAACGGCATTGATACCTGGAACTATACTCCCACTTGACGAGGTATAATCTACTTTCAAACTCAATCGTATTCTTTACGAGGTTCTAGAATGTTTGTGGGTCAACCTCCTGCCCTTTTGATAACGGCAGTTGGATTCAAACGAAGGTTCCTGTTCAGTAGTAGAAAGGTCAGAAGCTCGGGCCCTGATATCGCAGTTCTGAATCGTGGAAAATTACTGCCAGGCTGTAGATGGGTCCACAGCTTATGCATCGCTTTCATGTTAAACCAAACTTTAAGTTTATGCTAAGGCTATTACAACCACCAGGCTAAATGGCAAACGATAACGGTGAGCTATTTACAAAGGCCAAAGACTTGAGAATCTCGGCAAGATATCCGAAAGATTCAAGTATAAAACATCGAGAAAACCCCGACAGAGAAATATTTCCCCCAAGCTCTTCAGCAAATCTCTCAACTTTCATCTGAACAATGATTCCTACTACAGCTCTTTTCCTCGGCTTGGCCGCTCTTGCCAATGCCGTGCCTTTCATGACCGAACGGGATCTGAACTCCACTATTTGGACTCCTGATCATATCCTGAAGCAGGATGAAGTCATTCTCTATGGCTCCGGTCGCAGTACGTTTTATTGATCTTGATCATGATAGATAATTGGCTAACGAATTACAGTGGAGGTTGTTCACGTCAGCGTTTACGAGAAACTTCTCGAGTCTGAGGGTGTCGACCCCGAAACTCCTGAGATTGATCAGGCCTGGCTTGATGCCGGAGCCAAGGCCGTCGCTCCTCGTGATCTAGAGGAGCGCCAGTCCTGCTCATCCACCACCTCGTACGTGACTGATCGTACTCAACGATTTGTCGACTGGGACGTGCAGATGTCCCCCGTCGTCATCGGTGCCGGTCGCAACGGCATTGATGTGACAGTCGCCTCATCCTACAGTATTTCCAACAGCGTCTCTGTCAGCGCGGGTCTTGACCTCACAGCCGTCAAGAACCGTCTCGGCGCCAGTTTCGGTGTTGACTACTCACGCACCTGGACTACCCAAGCCACTGTCACCGTTCGTGGCACTGTTTCGCAGGGTGAGACCGGCGTTGTCATCACCAGGCCTTGGACCAACCGTCGTTATGGACGATCATTCAGGGGTTGTGTTGGATCTATGCAGCAGACTGGTACTTGGATGGCTGATTCGCATGAGGAAGGTTCATATGAGGGTGTTAGATGGGTTTCTGGTGCGATCACGATGTGCATTAAGAGGCAGAGCAGCATTCCCCTGACTCGTTGCAACGGTGGTGGCCAGTTCCGTTAATCTTATATTCCGTCAGAGTACTTGGCGACTTGGAAAGGCAAGTAGCAATCTGGAACCAAAGGTTGCTTATCAAGAAGGCGCTATAGTAGTATGTTACAGTGGAAAGATCGTATGGTCTATTGTAAGGGGTGTTACTGCCAATATAGTTTAAACTATGCTCATATTGTAGCCCAAGCAACTTCAGATTGAGTAATATGCTATATGAGGTCTTTGGAAGATGCTTCACAAGTAATCAATACATCGGTACAAGGTTTCATATGTTCAAAATACTCTATAGTGGCTCTCAATGCTGCAAACTGATGCTGACTTGCGACTATGAAATTGCTAAATCCTAAGACCTTGCCGAAATGAATAAAATCTGCATGCTACACTAACTACCCGATGCGGCATCCAATGTAATGACGACTTTCAAAAGAGATTCAGATAAGCAACCCGGCATCCCGCGAATCGAAGTACATATTGTTCTCTGTGAACAGATGGTGGCATATATCATCCTTCAGCTCCCCCCAAAATCCACGAAAGCGTTCCTCTTCACCTTTCACATTTAGGAAAAAATCTGTATAATCGGTACGGCAGGTGTATTGCTGTGTATCACGGACCTGTCTCGAAATCTCAATTGCCATCGAGATTGCGAGATCAAAATTGAATATTTCCAGTGCTTCATCAATACGAAGGGAGTCAATGAGAGTCTCAAGCGTATATTGGCGTGGTGGGTGGAGAGCATACCACCTAAATAATTTCAAGTGATTTGTAGAGGCTCTTTTTTTTTGGTCCGGCACCCTTGAGAACGCGGTACTCAATACGGAACACGGCTGTCTGATGTGACTCATGTGTTGTGTAAGGGTAATACGAGAGGTAAAGATAACAATAACGATAGCCATAATAATTATTTAATTCCACCTTATTAACCATGCCCCTCCTCACACTTTGAGCAACAGAGATACTTACCATGTACCCATCCAACCTCCGTTTCAGCAAAGAAGTCGACGTCCATCAGGCTCGGTTTTAAGACTACAGGCAGAGTAGCGTCGTAGGTCTCTATCTTCCTATAGAGATCTATTTCGGTTTGTTGCACATTTGATGATCCGTTCGCAAGAGCAGCATTTGTGAAGATGTCGCGAATAGTATCTCTGGCGGAGTCTGCTCCCTGACGCAAGCAGCGGTTTGCTGACACTTGGCTGCGTGTAAAGTGACCTTCAGACATGGTGGGCCAGGAAGACGTAAGATGAGTGTCCGAATGTAGATAGAAAGGAAAAAAAGAACAACTCCAAGTTGTTTAGTATTTATGTTTTTCTGATGCCTAGTCCTTTTGCGTTCATGGGGAGACGTAAAGTGGCGCAATCGTGAAAACAAAAATTTAAGAGTCCCGTTCGGTTAAGCAGAGTACAAACAAACCCTTCCATTAGAAACAAACTTGGTACCATTCCATTGAGAACACTTTTGAATCTACTTACAAACAATATTAAAGAGGCCTCTGTTACTACATAACTACTCTGACAAAAATTTCACTATTTGTGAAAGCAGGACAATGGTTGCAGCAATGTGCAGGTAAGAAGGCAGCCGTACCCCTTTGTCATTGTGGATGTCAATATTCTTTGTGCCGCTCCGGTAACAGATGTTCTTCGTAACTGAAAGGATTACTAGGTGTAAACAGTGGGTTTGGATGGCAGCTCCATAGCTTTGAGGGACCTTTGCCTGTTGCAGGGATTTTGTTCAAAGCATTTGTACTGTTGCATATTGACAATGACCGGACTGGAGCACACAGAGGCAATGTATGCAGCACATGAAAGATAATGAGCACGAATTTAAATATAAGGAGACCTTCACCACAAATTTCCTACCCATCTAACAAAAGAACTGCCATTTGCAACACTATCATCACTCAAACAACATTCATCCAAGTAACAACACTGAGTACAACCAAGTTTTCTAAATGTCTCACACACTCCCCGAACAAATGACAGGAGGCGCAGATCGCCAGTATGACGAGGTAACGTTTCAGCGTCGCATTCAATTTCGCATGCGGACTCGCCGCTTTCTTCGAAACATCCCACGGCTCGTTCAATACTGGAAGAAGCAGGTAAAGGCTGAATTCTTAGAGGACCTGGGGAAGAGTGGCAACGTGGAAGTCTCCGCTTTAACCACGAAGGAGTACGCCAAGCTGTGCGAAGCAAAGAGTGAGAATTGTGACTTCATGATTTCGTGCATGAAGAGTGACAATGACCACTTTGAGAAAATGATCAAGGACCTGCAGTGCAATCCGGTTGGGACAATGTCAGATTTGAGGATAGAGCGATACGAGGCGAGTATTGAGATCCGCAAGAAGGTCATCACTGACATCGAGAAAGAGAGACTGCAGCTCGTGGACAAGAAGAATGAACCGGATGAGTTGGAGTACGTACTCTGATCACTGGATCTTGCACATGAGAACATGTGCCAAGCTGGATGGAGGAAACACATGAGGTTTGACGTTCGGTTTGGAAACATAAGAGGGTAGCCAGAATGAAGTGCTACGTTGGGTTTTCAGTAAGGATGCGGGCCATCCACTGAGAGCACAACGGGGTGTTGAGGTCACATTCTCATTTGTTTTGAAACAGTAGAAGAACAATAAAATACTAGGATTTTCGCTCTTATATAATTTAGTAAACTAAGTCTGTGATTTCATTTCCGTTACCCAGGTATCTACTTCCATATAGGTAGGAAGAAATGACATGCTATCTTAGCAGAAACGGACCGTGAAGTTACCCTTGCCATCTCTCTACATATTCCTGTATTCTGGAACCGTGCGCCCAGATAACTCTACGCAACTGTCATCTAGCGCAGGTCATCAATCCTGTCAACGGCTTCATCAGTCAGATTCCTGTCTGATAGCGTCTCTCGCTGGAAATAATTTGTCAACCTCTCATCTGGTGGAATAGGGGCGGAAAAAGTCGTACCTTGAACCCACTCATCCCAAAGCTCAATGTAGGTCTCCTTGACTTTGTCCGAATCCCACCACTCAGACTGGGACTTGGCGCATCCAACAAACTGCACCTGTCGTTTTCCATCCTGTTCATCCAGAATCTTGAGCAAGTGACACACATCGTCTAGGATTCCAGATGCGTAGGCCCTCCCCCCCTTGCCGCGCCAGTACCTAAACAGTTTCGGTCCAGAGACCAAATGGATATCACGTTCAGTGAAGAGTTTTCGTCCGAATGGCACGCCTTCCGAGTCTACTCCACTGACGGCCATGATGACGCAAGGAGATTGGAGGGTCGGCGTCACACTAATAATCTCAACGTTGTCGCGGGTGATCGGTTCGTGGGAGGTGATCCTCCATTCTTGTGCGGTTTGGAGGTCTGCAGAGGAGTTCAGTTTAGTGGGCTTTCAACAAGGAGGAGGAAGACGGACCTTCAATGGTTGATATATAACCTATTTTAAGTATTATATCCCGCGTGACAAGATCTGGATGAGCAGAGGCTGTTGTGGAACAATGGTTTGTCGGCAGTTGGGCAATGAGGCTGTCGCCGTCTTCAAGATGGATCGGAGGCATCTCAATGTAAGGTTGTTCGTCTCTAGCTGTTACCGTGAAAGGTGAAGAAGTTGCGGATTTGATGAAAGTGGGAAGTGTAAGAAGCTGTGCGAGCTAGAATGATGTTTTCAGCTGCAGCGGTTGGAGTATTCAATTATTATATTGCATGAGGCCTGTAGACCGTGAATCATTTGGCCTCAGAGGGCGGTTGCTATAGGCTATAGTCGGTCAGATTTGTAGCGGGCAGCAAACAATGAGCAAACAAACACTTAAAAAGCAAACGATAGGAAAAGACCAAGTTACACGTCATCAATAGCCTGACTTCGGATTCCATCAATGATATTGCCAGGGTTGTATGCTACATACTTTGAAACTGCAAAGCAAATGCAAAGTAAACATTAAATGCGCATACTCTTTTCCCAGTGCGGTTATACAAGTTAGGGGGTCATTAGTGGCCAGAGTTGGTGCACCATTTAGTGGGTAACCCACTATAAATCACTGAAACTGCTTCTGTCAAGGCGTGGGCAGGCACACGCGAATCAGAATGTAAAATTTGACGCCAAAAGTCTGAGAACACCCACCCTGTAACAACATCATTCATTCAACAGCAATAACTTGACGTCGATCTAATTCCATTACAACACGTTCAATTAAAAGTTCATATATATATTTAAAGACTCCTGATTATTCTATTTAACGTCTTGTATACCATCCCCGGGATAAGTGCAGGTACCAGGCCTGTGGGAGAGCCAGCCAAACAAACAACGGTGACACATGAAGAATCGTTTGTTGCTTTTGTTGTTCATTACCTCGTTTGCTGCAATGACCAATGTGATGGACTTCCAAACACAGTGGATAACATTGCGGTCTCTTGTAATCAAGTCTAGGATGAGATAGCGAAAACATTCTTCACTTTTCAGTCTCGTGTCCATCTTGCTCGCGCGAGTAGTCAGTCATTTTTGAAGGCATGTCCAGTCGACCAGCCATCTCAATAAGGCAATATTTGGACGGTGATACTCCGGCTAATAGATTGGCGAGTCATGGTAAGTCCCTGCCAAGCCCATAGTGACTTTCAGCCTCAGTGGCGTTCAGACTATCGATAACGCTTTTCTCAAAGTTACATGGTCAACGTGCCATATTGGCTTCCAGACCCTTCCTCAATCAATAGTCTTAATTGGACCGACAAAGTAATGAAAACCAACACATTCTTTTTGCGGGTTAAGTGTAATGAAAAGGGGAGGTAGAAGAGATTCATAAATTAATAAATCGTCGCATTTGACCGTTGTTTCCATTTGTCTTGTTCACTTTCGTTTACTTACAGCAGAGATGTCTCGTCGTCTCGTCCGCTCATTCTTGCTGGCTACGGCCCTGAGTCCGCTGGTCAATGCAGGACCATGTCGGCCTCAATCAATCTCTACTTCGAGTGGTACAGAGGGACTAACTCAGGCTGTTTCTTCTACCACTATCGTTGCTTCTTCTTTGAACCCAAGTGACACCTCACAGTCTGCTACTGTCTCTGAAGATGCTGTCACTTCAATTGAAACCTCCTCTATCGTTCCGACCGATACGACTTTGAGCTACAGCGGCATCTACTCTGTTTCCATTGCAACTGAGATTTCTCTTAGTTCCTCGACAGACATCTATTCGACGATCGATACTGAAACTACATTTGCTGTCGCTACAGACACTACCTCTACACTCAGCGAGGTCGAGCCCCCCGTAGCTACTTTGACGGATACCACCATGACCTCCAGCGAGAAAGAAACCTCCACCACGACAATTGCAGAGTCCGTCTCCACAATTGGTTCCTCAGAAACCACCGACACTGCGCTGACCGACACCACCGAGACAACAAAGGCGACAGACACCACGACAATGACTTCAGATGATGTCACGACTACCGCGACAGGTCCCCTTACTTCCGCTACCGAGGCTTCTTCGACAGCTCCCGCAACTTCTACCGAGGCAGCCCATGCCTGTACCCCTACAATGGTCTATCCCAAGCCCGCAGATGCCGTATGCGGAAGACAAGGGAATCCTGACTCGGCGACAAACCTTATAGTGACCCGTGGAGGGGAAGCTACAGAGAGCATCTGGAACTGTTACAAGGCTTGCAAGGATACACCCGAGTGTGGATCTGTAATCTTTTACCGGAATCTCTACTGCGAGTTGTGGAAGGGCAAGCCTGGCGAGACTAACAACCTTGAATCAGATTGGAGATGGTGGGATATGGACTGCTTCACCTGCCTTCCAGACGAGACACAGACTACCCCCCCGACTCAACCAGAACCCGCCTGCAAGAACAACATGGTCAACCCCCCGCCCGGAAACCGTGTTTGTGGGAAAATGGGAGATAGTGGTGGCTTGTATTGGGATGCTGAGGGTCCCGCAAGTTCAACGAAATCGCTTGCAGTCTGCGCAAAGGCGTGCAGTACACGCGGGTGCAGGGGCTTCAAATTCGAAGCTGACAAGCAGTGCACGTTTTACGTGGGCACTAGTCTGTCTCCAAGTGATAGTACTACGAGTTTCAAATGGTATCAACCTGAATGCTTTTGCGACCTTGACAAAGTAGAAGTCAGCGAGCCTGAACCCACTTGCAAGGACAACCTCATCAATCCTCTTCCTCAATACCGGGTTTGTGGCGAAATGGGGGATAGCACGGGTCTGTTTTACAGTGGCCCAGGTCCCGACGGTTCTTCTGAATCTCTCCGAGCTTGTGCAAAGGCTTGCAAGGAAGGCCAGTGTTCCGGATTCAAGTTCGAGGCTGGCCAGGAATGTGAGTTCTACGTGGGTGGGGGTATGTCTATCGGGCGAAAAATCACAACGAGCTACAAGTGGTACGATCAGGACTGCTTCTGTGATCTTGAAAAATCAGGCGATGATGAAGATGTCTGCGTCGACGAGTTACCCAAGACCACTGTGTGCGCTGTCGAAGGACGACCCAAGAACACCTGCATCGAGGATATCACTCCTTTCGCACCCTCCTCGACAAAGTCTCTAGAGGCCTGTCGAGATCTCTGCAAGGACAACAACTGCGACTCAATTGCATTCAAAAAAGACGAATGGTGCAGTATTTACAAGGGCCAAGTCGGAGGAACGAGCGACGAAATCGATGTCCCTGGACGCAAGATGTGGGATATGGCTTGTTTTGATGAGCAGCCAACCAATGACGTCTGCAATGGTACACCCTTGGACCCCTTGCCTGCAGAAACTGTTTGTGGTAAGATGGGCAGTGTTTCAGGAAACTATCTCGGTATCTCGCGCCCACAAACTCCTGGAACTCTGGCAGAGTGTTACCTTACATGCAAGGCTGCAACCGACTGTGACGTTTTCGAGTTCAAAAAGGACGGGGTTTGCAATCTTTACAAGGCTCAGGGTGTCTTCACAGCCAGCGCCGTCCAATTCACCGGAAGTGTAATTGAGTGGTGGCAGCCAAGCTGCTTCTGTGACGAGACTAAGACGGGAACCAAGGACCCTGAACCGAGTTGCGTCGAAAATATGCTAAGCCCTTCACCCAAGGATAGTAATTGCGGTGCAACCGGAAATCCTACGGCACTTGATCCCACGGCAATGCTTGGTCAAGCTGGTGCAATCTCCTTCGACGCTTGCCGTGATGGCTGCAAGGCTTTGAGTGGGTGTAAATCGTTTCTCTTCGAGATCGACAATAACTGTGTCTACCTTGCTGCTAGTGCTATCAAGCTTGATGGTACAAACACGGGCTGGAAGTTTTACGACATGTCCTGCTTCTGTGAGGAGACTACCTAAGCGCAAGATCAAGAGGATTGATGGGACTGTTGATAAGTAGTTACTGGAGGATAATGGGCTTATATTATTTTTAATTCTATCTTAGTTTAACTTGCTTATCTAGAAAAATTGAGGTGAAGGGTTAGTTTTAGATTGCTTTGGTCTGGCAAGGTGCCAATCGAGTGGCTGTGTCTCGGGAGTAATGATATCATAATAGGAAGTATCCTTCAGGATCATAGACAGGTAGCGAACTCGCAGTACCTATCCAAGTCTAAATTCTATTGCTGTCCCGCCGTTTCGGTCAGAGTACCGAGTGTGCATGTAGTAACCGGCGAGTTCGTAAAAGTACATATGCGGATAGGGGTTACCCTCCGCTTCAGGTGCACAATTTAAATACCTGTTGTCGCCTTCTGTACACTTAACAAAAAAGACAAAATAACCCGCTGCTCTCTGTTCTTCATTCAAGAACTTAAATGAATCGCGACTGCATTGAGTGCAGGATGCCGCATAAAGCTTTTCACCACTAGGGAGGACCGCGTAGAGTCGTGAGGTTGCAGGCTCTAGTCCAAAGAGGGCACCAGAAGACTCCTTGTCCACATCACTAGTGATAGAGGTACCGAAGTCATCCACAGGAAGCCAGACATCCTTTTCGTAGCCTTCGTCAACAAAAATAACATTTAGAGTTGTTCCAAGCGGGGCCTCCAACGATGTTGTGGTTGATGAAGCGAGTGCGGTCGAGGTTGACTCTGTGGGAAGAATAGTGGTTGCTGGTGATTGAATGAGGGTCTCAGTTGATGATAACTCAGTCGAAATAGCAGTGATCGATGTTTCAATGAGGGTAACCGTGCTTGATACCGAACTGGTAGCAGAATCGGCATATGATTCATCTATGGTGGTGATGCCTGTGGCTCCGGAAATATCTGACGTAGTAGTCTCTCCGCTCAGAGCAGAAGTTTCAGACATTCCGTCATCCGAGTTGACTGCTGTGGTAGTGGGTATGATGGTCGATGATTCGTCGGCAGAAGTGATTGGTGATGGTTTACATGGTCCCGCGTGTATCAGACGTGTCTGTATTGCGAGCAGCCCCAAAGTGAGGGATATGAATGATAAACGCATCTTGAACGACTGAATGGGATCAATCCCCGTTGCTAGCGACGTAACTTGATTCAGTGGAAATGAACCGAGAATAAAAGGATCTGCCTGCTGGAAGGGTAAGTCAGGGTGATTTAAATAACCGATCAGGGGCCTATTATCGCTGAATCCACAGCATTGACACAAATATTGAACATTAGTGATAAACTATTAACGCCACAATCCTTGGCCTTCGCCCAACAGAGCACTTTCACTGGCCGTACAGTACCCGAGTACTTTCGTTTATGTTTGTTACAGTCCTTTTAATTTTAGTTTATGATACACTGACTCGTTCATAGTTCAGCTCGGATTTGCCTGACTTTGTACTAGACATTGTCGGTCGTGTCGCGTACATACACTTGATCTGATGTCGGTACTCGCAACCGCTGATGCAAGCTCCCTGTAGACTTGTCGTGATAGTTCATCGCAATGCATCACGTTCATTGTCTAATGCAAGGCGATTTTATAATATGGTTCTTGTGTCCTTGTCGCGGCATACTTACCGTAGATTTTTGAGCATTTGGGGTTGACATTTAGTTGCTAAAAACGGCAGAAAAACATACAACAGCAGGGATTTACTAGTTATTACCGACCTAACTACTAATCTATTTATATACTATTATTAAGTCTAAGACTATTTCTAGATAGTAATTAATATAGAGAATAATATGATTATACTATTACTTTTATGCCTCCCACTTAATATTACCTTTAGTTTTAGTAACTAATAGTTTAAGTTTGGGCTATATAGCCTATATAACTGAAAATCAGTACTCTAGGAGTTACTATAGTTAAGACTGGTTTATCCCTTAGGGATTATCACAATTATAACTTTAAAGTAAATTATAAAGGCTAAATATACAGACAACCGATAACTTGTATCTATTTTTATTTATTAAAATAAGAACTAAATAGACCTTCCTTTTTAATAACCTAGTATGTTCTCTCTAACTTCATATTATTATACTCCCCAGCGGTGATAGAACTATACTGCATTGCTTGAAACCGGGGATGGTTTAGATTTCCCACTTGGGCATCCCGGTTCGGTTTCCCAAAAAATGCAATTGAGAATCTCTCCGGAACATGGCAATCATTATCCTCCACCGCTGTCCGATAGGGCACCGTAACCCTATGCGGTATTGCCCATACCTGATTCCCTGTCCATCGCTGGAAGCAATCGCCAACTATCACCAAACATTCCATCGGTTGTGACTCAATGGCTTGGTATCTGCCAGTTTCGCGGTCTCGTCCCTCTAGCCCGCCGGTGTTGTCCTGGAAAAGCAGAGTGACACTGCCAAAATCCGTATGATCGGCAATCCTTGTTTTTCCGCCTATTAAATCGCCTACCTTCGTTGATGGGTAGTGCAAGAGACGCATTTCATGGTGGCTTTTTTCATGGAGGCACGAGAAGAAATTTCGCTTGAGCCCTAGTCCAAGAGCGAATGCCGCTAAAACTTGTAACTGAACTTGTTCCAGGGCCTCATAGTGCTGCTCGACAATCGCTCGAAATTGTGGAATTTGACATTCGCTAGGCCACCGATTAGGGAACTCAGAGTCGTCAGGTGATCCCAGATCGAATGTCTCCTATAAGGTTCATTAGCCATGTTTTGATTCATACAATCACAACGCGTACCTTATTATCTTGTATTTCGCTATTCTTTTCCGAATCTTCGGCGAACCCTGTAACACCAGCGAGCTTTTCTTGGCCGACAAAGCTGTATCCGCGATGAGGGCTGGCTTGCGGAGGGTGGGCAGCGACCATCTTGCTAGTCATGTCAAGAGAGAAGAATCTTTTCGTCTTTAATATCGTTAGCTATGAATTCGTATTAGAGAGATCTAAAGGAAACATGCCACATCGAAAAGTTTGACGATCTTGAGGGTAGGAACATCATCAATTTTCAATTTCACAATCCCCGATGCTTCCAAGTTTGTGATTAATTGCTGAGCGAATTTTGATTGGGTAGACTCATTCCCGTGTAGGAACTGTCCGAGATCTAAAGATTCGAGATTCAAGAGGCTACTAGCCTTGGCCGAATTCTCCATTATGCGTGGTATAGTTGTCAGAGGTGTTACAAGAGTTAACAAAGATAAAAAATAGGGTAGTGGTTCAATGATCAGAAGGATTTATTTATAAAATTGGGATGTTTATATATTTAATCAGTATCCCTTCATTCTAAACAATGGGTCACTCTGTGGAATGTAGGTTAATTCTGTAACTCTCTAGATGTATATTACGTAGAGTTACTAGGCGGCTTAGTAGCTCGTGACGGCACACACATACCTCGAATAGCTCCTAACTTGCTAGATAACAGGCGGTGAGTTCTGATCTATGATGAGGATGTTTAAGAAGCTGATAAATAAAGTAGAGTAAGCTGGCTGAAACACGGCAGGATAATACAGTCAAGACACGGTAGGATAAAGGAGATATGAGGAGATAGCTGAAACACGGGAAGGTAAAGGAGATATAATGGTATAGCCAAGATATGGGAGGATGAATAATATATTATGTAATAGCTAAAACACGGGAGGATAAAGGAGATATGATGAGATAACTGAAACACCGGAAGATGAATAATGTATGATATAATGGCTAAGACACCACAGGCTACCCGTGAGATAGTTGCCTAGGTATATGATCGTTAAAATGGACCACTAACATTCTTGTAAACGTTGTTTATTTGTTAGACGTAGCACCAGTCACGGAAAGGGATTCTGACGATACTGCTGCATGTCCATTTATTTAAAGCTCCTTTCACCGTGCTGCGAATTATTAAATCCTCTCTTTTTATTAACCGAAGAATATTGATTGGAAATAGGATTCTTTCTCTACCAGATCATTTGAAAACAGTGACTACATCTTAAAGATGGTCAATCTAACCATTATTCATGATAGGGAAGTCCCTGCCGGGCTTTTCCATCAGCATGTTTCTCTTTACCGAACTAGAGAGCTAAGTTCGGAGATTTCAATTGAGGATGCCGAGGACGTCATATCAACAGATATCAAAAGTACGCTCTGGTGCATGTCGATTTGATATGAAAGCTGACGATATACCAGATAAAGATGGAGATGTGGATATAATGATTATCTCAGTCAGTAGCCGATTACAGAATGCCATAAAATCGGCTATTTTCCAACTGAATGGCAAGTTATTATCATAATGCCGATACGTAATTCTACGCTAATGTATCTAGGTGACGAACCCCCAATGAAATTGGTAATCATCGACGCTGAACCTTCATTTTATTCCATCTCATTCTCTACCCATAATCATGCTTTTTTTGAAGCAATAACTATACCAGAAAATTCAGAAGTTGTGCAAAAGAATTTTGTCAGTGATTTTCCACGGGTCGCGCTGTTCTTTAAAATATCCTTACGTCTAACTTCGATCTACACACTTACTAATCGACCAATCAGGTATACTACTCCAGTCCTATGTCGTCAAGTTCGGATGAGAGTTCCATGATATTGGAGGGAGTCTTCCAAAAATCGCAAAGTACTGGCTCTCCTTTCGGTACAATTACTATTCTACATGTTCTCCCGAGAGCCCTACGCATTCTGGAATACTTTGGAATGGAATATGCTATGACGGCATCTACAATTCTCAATCTGGATCCTGCTACAATGCGCGATATTTTCCGCAAAGCATCTGCCCGCTCTATCGTTAGTGTGGAACAAAAAGTAGCACAACGGCCAGAGTATGAAATACCGGACTTGATTCGAGATTTGAAAAGCATCATCAACTTATCCTCCAAGATACAGTACCCAACCCCTTTGCTCAGTACCACCTTGTCAATCATTATAGAATGGCAGGATACCCACCCACAGTCTTATAGCGTTGGTTATTTAGGGTCTCCCACCCTTATGCATTTGCACAATCGTGAACTGCACAAACCTCAATCACAACGTATAGTAGTCGTTGGTCTTGGCATTATGGGACTAGGCATGGCTTTGTCTCTACAGAAATTGCATCACGTTACTGGATGTGATATTGACCAGGAAAGACTTGACGAAGCAAAGTCGGCGTCTCTACCGGTGACAACTGACGTGGCTAGTTGCTTGGACAAGACTGATTGCTTGCTATTCGTTCTTGAGAAATCAGAACAGATTCTTTCTGTGATTGGAGAGATTTCAAGCCAGCTTAAATCAAGACGGAAGGCTCTGGTCATCATCGCTCACACAACCATGTCTGCGTCGTCATCAATTGAGATCAGGGACCGAATCTTCCAACTTAACAATACTATCTCATATCTAGAGGCTCCAATTTCAGGCGGCCCGAATAGGGCAAATAGTGGCGAACTTTTGGTTTGTATAGTTATCCGGTGATATATCCAAGCTGATAAATTATATAGATAATCACGGGGGGCGAGCGAGCCGTTGTCGAAGATAAACTCTCTGTTCTTCAGCAGATGTCTACCACAATCTATTTCGCAGGCAGGATCGGCAACGCAAGCAAGATGAAGGCTCTACACCAAATTAGCGCCGCCATCAACCATGCTTCCTCATTCGAGATCACTTGCCTGGGACTCCATTGTGGAATCAAGAGCGAGGTCAGTCTTTTCACTTATGACCGCTTGATCTCTTGCTGACAATTAAGATATTATACGACGTCCTTGTAAAGTACGCGTACAATCAATACTTAGCAGACAGGCTGCCAAAATTCCTGGCTGAGGATTATACCCCTGACGCTCGACTATCAATTTGGTTGAAAGATTTGGTAGGTGACTGTAATGTAGTTAAAACATTGAAACTGACAGAAAGTTAAGGAAATCGCTCGGAACCAAGTTTCCGAGACTGAGATTAATTTGTCCATTATTGACAAACTCTTGTTCTTATTCAAGAAAGCAGCTGAAAATGGTGATGTGTCAAACTCTGACATATCTATCGCTCAATTTTGGAATTGCAGTTTAGAGGAAGTGTAGTCTATGTATCGATCAGTGGTGTTAGTAGGACAGGGTTAGGGTAGTCGTTATGTCTCAGTGGAATTACAGTTCCAGTATAATATAACAGTTAAAGATTTATAACAAATGATTAGATGTAAAAAGTCCTATATAAGTTAGCTTAAACAAGATCCTAAGATCTATTTAATGTACTTACATATAACTTTGTCTTCGCTGACCTTAACCTTAGACTAAAGATATGAAACATTCAAAATACTAAAACACCACTTGCATCGTATTTCAGATTCTACTAAGCCGCTTCCATTATACATTTAAATCTGCAAAAATAGTACAGGTACTCTTTCCCGAAGCTGGGTAATTCTAATAGCTAAGCTTTAGCTTACTATGCATCGCTGCTAGTTCAAGGATCTATCTCCTCTTCTCTCTTAAACCCAAACCCCAAGGACATTCCAGATAGCTTCCTTTTCTTCCATTAACAAGCTAGCCGCAAGTCCGCTCATGATTATCGCTACAAAATCTGCCCTTCCACTCCATACTCTTCCCTAAGTATTATACCTTCTAGCGCCGTCCTTGCACTTACCCAGGTTCTCAGTCTCCGCTTGCTACCTAAATCTAAATTCCTCCTTTATTGGATTGCATCCATATCCCCACCGCCAGACCGCCTACTATATTCTTTTGCTAACAAAGCAAATAACTTCAGGCTTGTACCTTCTTATTTTATCCTGAAGTATGGGTGTGTCTGGTCACCAGTCCCGGGTGTAACGATTGGTTACCGTAACAGTGCTATAAGGCTCTATAAGCAGCTGTAAGCACCACTATAATTGCTCACATAGTGATTATAGCTCAATCTTTTACCCTGTGGCATAACGGTCAGATACAACCGTTACAAATATGGGCTGCAAGAGATCTGATAACGGAGGGAACAAATGTGAACGCACACGGTGGCCAGGCTCTACTGGTTGCCTCGCATCAAGGCAACTCAAAAATCTTGCGACTGCTTTTGGATAAAGGAGCAGATGTTAACGTAAGCAATTATTGTCATGGTACTGCTCTGCAGGCTGCATCGAGCTCCGGTCACTTAGGACTCGTGCGGCTCCACTTGAACAAAGGGGCAGATGTTAATACAATTTGTGGTTTTTGCTGGAAATGCACTACTGTCTGCATCAAGAACCGCTAAATTAGTGATCATACGACTACTTTCGATAGATGCGCCGATGTAAATGCAGCTGATAGTTCTGGTGTCAATGCTCCACATGTTGCTGCGTCTCGATACTGTGATCAGGTAGTGCAGTTTCTATTGGATAAGGGAGCCTGGGTTAACGTACAAGTGCTGGAAATCCTTTGGAAAATGAGTAACGAGAAAAAGCAACTACTTGTTTATCATAGCGCCGAGGTGAATGAAGCGACCAGAAAACGATCCAACTCAATATACTTCGAGGATTGGACTAAATTACCTCGGATTTGACTGGGAAGTTTGTGGCAGCTATTGATTTTCAGTACCATTGCGACTTGTCTTGGGTGTACTGAAGTGTCTGGTATCCCCAGAGGCTCGGCGAATGGTAGAGTAACGAGCTGCTAGAAGCGTAAGAGAAGATATCATTTAGGTACTGTATCGTGTTTATTCTTAATGAGTCATATTCTTCAGCCGCTTGGGATTATTTGTAATATCGGAAGGCCAACTTTTAAGTTCACCACCTTCATGAAAATAGAAGAAGTTCACTACTTTGAAATCGAGCTGAGGGTGGGAGTTAGAATTTGTGATCTAGTTGCAATTCTTTCAAGCATATGCACATAAATAATGAAGAACTTGGGATCCTGTCCAGCTCTTGTTTGTTTTTCAATTATTAGTTCTTAAAATAAGTTTTTCTAAAAATAAGGATCGTTACTTAAACTTAAAGCATGAAGTAACTAATAACTCCTCACCGACGGCTTCTAGTAATAGATAGAAAAAACAAAAAGTTCAGGATGCAATTAATACGTTTATAGAATGGCCGGAACTCCTTGATTCTAGCATCTGCTAATACGGGTCTTGTTGAACCGAAGCTACCTTGTACAAGTCGGTTAGCGGTTCGTTTCATCTGACTAAGAGAAGCTAGAAAAGGGATAGCGTAAGGCATTTACCCAAAAGGAGGGAAAATTGTAAGGTCACATAGCGAACAGAAGAGAATACAATTGGAATATAGATCAATTTCCACATACGGGTTCAACGACTTCCTTATTCTCTGTAGCGTTAAGCTCAAAGAATAGGCCAACAGCGGCAACGTTAATGACTAGATAGCCATTGGCCACTGAGCCGCGAGCCTGATGATAGCCCTGGTTGAGATTTGTCGTGCAGAGAAGCCAATTCTCCTCGTCCCATGTCACTCCTGGAAAAGAGGTCCCGTAGATATGTTTGACTGATTGGCTGGAGTTGCTGTGGCCTTGATAATATGATTGAATAATCTTCTGGCATGTGGCACCAGTACCTAGTACTCTAACAGAGTAAAGGAATGTAAAGACAATGTATCTTCTATACTATTAAAGAAGGATTGGTATGAATGTCACATGAGTGTCCGTGTGAGAAGTTTTCTTTACATACTGCAGTAATCATCGTGCTGGTTTCTTATTTCTGCTCTACCTTTGGTAATGTGTAATTTTCAGAACTGTATCTTTATAGCAACAACTTTGTAAAGGCAAAGTGAAGTTACACAAGGTCCACATTGAGTTGAATGCGAAAGATCAAGGACAAAGGCAAGCAGCTACCTGAACGGATGTATCTAACCTCTTGTTACGAGAATCAGTAATTGGGAGATGTCGAAATCTTGTTAATCCCGGAACCCCGCAAACAAGGTCTATGAAGAGGGTTTTGCTGAAATCGGTAATTGAACGTGAGATCGATGCTAATCAATTCCCAAAGTAGAGTAGCTATGTCATTATTTGATAATGATTTGGTTCGATTGGTAGGTGTACGTATGTAGAGAAGGATAAATCTCTGCATTGCCCAGGTTATTTGGACTTTCTAGAAGCTAAGAGGAGATGCCTGCATGCTGTTGGACATCGTCGCCTTTCCTTAGACAGACCGTCTTGTATCAGTCCTTCTAGTCATATACGACTAGCCTTATCAGTTCCTTGTCTCAAATACACTACTCAAGATTTGACAATGATCGTAAGTGAGGTGTTTCTTCTAGACTGGCATCAATACTCTCTGAGAAGAGCAGGATGTCGATCTAGTAGCGTCGCCTCGATGGCTCAGTGGTAGAGCGTGTCACTAGTAATGACAAGGTCTACGGTTCGATCCCGTGTCGAGGCACAACGAGTTCATTAGCTTATGATGATTTGATTTTTACATTTTTTGCAATCTCTAACTCCGACTCTTGTATGATTCGAAGTTCACTGACCTGAACTGGTGCAGTACTGACAATCGAATCCGGCAAAAGTAGATCCTTGTTACGCTAATCCGGTGAGTCAAATGGCATTTTGAAGCATAGTCGGGTTTATTGGTTTTTTAAAGCTTGGATGGTGGAAAAGCAGAGGCACTTGAGCAATATCGTGATTCCCGAAACCAATTGTCACAAAGACCAACTCCAAATGCGAAACAAACCCTTATCCCATACCTATTCGTAATGAAAGAATTAAAAAATGATCAAACCTGGTTTACTGGACTTGATGTGTATGGTAGTTCAACTGGTGGTTCTTGCAGTCTGTGGCTCGGTAGTTCAGCTACTCCGAACGGCAACTCTTTGGGTGGAGGAGCCGGCGGGCGAGGCGTGAGGTCACTAGGACTAGGGATACTGGAAATATTTGTCATTAATCGCCATATCTGAGTTGTAACGAGGAGGTATAACCTACTAATGTGTATTCATATTGCCTGGGTTTTGCGTCGTCATCGCTCCAACATCCTGCGGAAAATCATATAAAGGCGATAGCGGCGGGCTTGTGTGGTGACTTTGACCGGTGGTGTTGACGGTTGGACTTGTGGGTTTGTACACCCAATACCCTGGCATTGTACTGTTTGGTGATCCGACGTCGACCTCAGTAACAGGCGTCGTTCCACCCAGACCACTATGTATGGTGTGGTTGTTGAACGCTTTGTGATATGCATCATTGAAGCCACAACGTCTACCGCACAGATAGATTCCTCCAATGATGATACCAAGAACAGCGACACTGCCAACCACTATGCCAGCAATCGCACTACCGCGGAGTCCATTATCTGAACCAGTTGTCCCTCCGCTGACAGGAGAGGAACTGCTGCTTTCGTTCGGAGCTGTAGATGTGGTCGGTTCGGGGACTGCAGACGTGGTTGAGGTTTTGAAGCCCTCTTCCTTTGGCCAGGGTTCGCCGGGTGTTAATTGGTAATCCACATCTGCTGCATTTTTAAGCCAACCTTTCAAAGTTTTATTCTTTGACTGTCACTATTGTCAGAACGTCCGACGTAGAAGAATTGTTAGGCAGACTTACCGGATTCACAACACCCATCATATGATACCTGACACAAGATCCAGGGGCGCCGCAATAAAAGAAGATGGGCTCAGTGTTGTTTACTCTTACACGGTAGCGGGGCGCCTAGAGGTGTTAGTCATCCTAGTCCGGCTTATTGAAATACTCCTGTACACTTACATCGTCAGTGATAGCTTTGACCGGCTCAGGACCACTTGAGAAGCCGCTCCTGTCTGTATCCACATACTCATATGGGATACATGGATTATCGTAGTCTCCTCGGATTACCCAGTGTGCGTCTGGATAGAAACGGTATTCAATTATATCGCCGACATCTGCCTTGATATCTTCGGGAGTAAACTTATGCCCCGCCTGTCATATATGTCAGTGCTGCTTGAGGGAGTAAGGCGAGTCTCAACTAACAGCCCCCACGTTGATGGTATGTGTGGCATGTCCCGTAGTCGTAGTACTGCTAGGCATTCCATCCTCCATTGTCGAGGACGGGGCATCGGTTGGTTCTCCATTATCGGACGCCGATAACGTCTGAGCGCAACATCCCACAAGAATTGAAGACAATACCAGTAACCGTTTCCATAACATAGCCACAGCGCCTCTTGTCGTGAGATAGTCTTGATTACCTAACCAGTAAGCGAAACTGTGGAAATGTCGGAACTGTAGAAGGGGTATGCGAAGGAAAGATTCAGAGGTTTGTATTATTGTCAGTATTAGTAGAACGGCGAGAGGTAGGGGAATTGAAGCGAGGGGGCCGTCTTTGATAACGGCCATGAAGCAAACTATACCCTCTGGGGCTGAAAGGAAACCTGGTCTGGATCATATGCGCCATGCAGAGCATGATGGGAACTAAGCCCTGTACAGCCTGTCCGGAGCTGAATGTCAATCACGGCCTGTTCCACCCCGTCAATCCACGGAGAGTAACATACAGTACGCTTCTCGGCCACTACAAAGTTAAGACACCATTTTGTAAGCGTGCTGCCATCAATGGGAGGTACTGGATCCTAGGTGGGGTACATCCGTTGAGGTGTCACGTCTACGATATGTTTGGTTGCTGTGAGTATAAGCGGCGTCAAGAACCAAGACCTTTAGCTCTAGTCTAATGTGGATATGGCACAGAGTTGGGATTGTGGCTTTTTGGCTTTATCTTGGGTCTGGAGCTGGCAAGCCACAGTGACATTAGAGATCTAGACTTAACTGGAGGCTGAACTTGAGTTTTCCAAGAGACATACAGGTCTGAGGCTGAATTTCACTGGCAAGTTAAAAATTATAGTCCGAACCTTGGAAAGTCTCCTTTGCGACGTAGTCTTTTCACCAAAGACTCTCAGACTACCAGGGCGCCAAAATGGGACAATGGCGGCTTATGCCGAAAGTCCTGAGAATGTCTCTAAAATCTGCCTAATGGACAATGCCCCGGCAGTATTGAGTACGTAGGTAGGATCAAGAGGAACTACCAGTAGACGCACCGAAATGTAGTGGATTTCCTCAGATCAACCACATCACTTGGCATGTGCTCAGCTATTGCGGTATAACGGGACATGCGTGTTACAGTGTTCATCCGGTCGATGACATCAGGCAAGGTGAGGCTATCGGTCGCTGGAAGAATGCGTGGTTGCAGTTTGGGAGTGATGCGTGGTGACTAGGAGCCACGTCCATCATTGGTGATTTGTTCCGTCTTGGTCTTCGACTTGCATGAGCAGCTTCCACTTGAATATTGGGGCAACGTGTGTACCAGTATATCGGTAATTTGGCTGGGGAAGGAATGGCTGAGTGGCAATAAGCGGGGCCATTGAAAATTGCCTGGACACTAGAAGGTACAGATACAGCGATCTATGCGTCGGATGTAGACTAGCGGCGGAAGGGGAAGGCTGTTAGCGCCGTTGGGAACGAGGGACAAGATGGAAATTGGAGGGAGTATAAGTTCGAGAATGGTTCCTATCACCTTAGGCTTTATGATACCGAGAGCATGCTAGACCGAGAGGCTCTCTGTGCTTTCAAGGTTGCGCCTACAACTTATAACGTGCTTACAGGCACGGCGTATTCGTTGCACACCCAATCAAGGCCTACCATTGTGAGGAGAATCTCAGAAGAAACGGACGAGCAGCCTCCCCACGCAATCGATATCAATCATACAACTCAGCCTGTTCGCCCATATCTCCCGACTCTGAGGAAATACCTTCTAGACCGGGGCCATTCTTTGGAAGCACTTGCTAAGCTGCCTTTGAAAGAAATATTTCAACTTATGCTGGGTCCGAATGCACAGCCTGACGAATTATCGAGGCTGTGGAATGCTATCCCAACCGTATTCCATGACGAAGGTATACTTCAACTGTTCCTAGATCTCGACAATTCAATGATCGAGACTTACTTGACGCTCACGGGTTATGGCACGATCAAAAACGCGACTATCATAGCTCAGATGAATTCGACCATTTTTCCATCGTCTCTGGAGATTGCTGGTATTAAACTTGAATTTGTACAATGCTAATACAGGTTATTTTGAAGACATGTCACTAATAGAAAAATTGGTTTGAAAATTAATCTACATAATTATTAGTAGAATGAAAGGATATAGTATTAAGTTGCCCGGTACTACATCTTTCATTCATACACAGCACGACTAAACCCCTTTATGGATATTTAGCAGCCTCCATGTTATGTAGCGGATACTCGTCCACTGTATATGTAGGCCTGGCGTTAAGCGCATCCTTGTTAATAACTCGGCTGGGATGGAATGAATTGAAAAGAACAGCGACCAAGGCCATGAGTGTTGCATCAAAAATGTATAACCAGTATTCGTCAGCCTGTAGCGCTCCTTCCTTTCCGAGAACATATTCTGCAACTCGAAAAGCTGAACGGACAAGAATGAACAGACTTGAAATGTAAAGAACCCAGATGAGCTTCTCCCAGGGTGTGCTCAAGATCAATGATGTTGATGTTGGACGAGAGCGAATTCGGATGTGGAAAACGATGGTGACAATCATGAAAAAGCCAAAGAAAAATATTTGGATAAACAGTCCGCCAACGATCATGTTCTCGCCTTTTTTAACACTGTCCTTGTTGTCTGCCGTGGCAAGCATACCACCGCCGCCGCTTTGGGCCAGGAAAGACAATACATCGCCGATGACGAAGACCTTTGTCAGCCACTTGGGTCGAATAATAGAGAGGTGACCCGCATCCAAAAGAACGATCAAGCGGCCGAGAACCATATAAATAGAAGCGGCGAGTAATGCGGGACCGAGGAGAAGTAATATCGATTGCATGATGTACGGGTTTTTAGTGTAGTTGGGAGATTCGTTTGCGGACAGGGCACGACCGATATATCCGAATGCCTCGACTTATTATATGAGCATTTGACGAGTTGTGAGGAGAGAGTATAACTTACACAAACAGCCTACGATAAATGGGATAAAGTACCATGTTCGAGACCGGAACATTTGCCAGAGGTGAACAAGAGTTGTGATGGTGAAGATAATTACAAACGCAGCGGCTGCGGCGAGGGAAGGCTCATAGTTGTAGAAAGTGAACCCTGCCATTGTTGCGACCTAGGGAAAATAAATGTTCGAATGAGTGTAAAGTTGCAGTAGCGTGTTGACAATTGATGCAAAGGAATGTATGTATATGAGGTAGTGAATAGAAAAGAAAAATAGAGAGAGAAAAGAAGTAAACAATTGAGAAAAAGATGATTAAAGTACTACGGCGGATCGAAGTTAAAGAATGCATTTAGTAGTGCATCGCAATACTCGGACTTAACCCCCAGGCGCATTTAATACGAGGGCTGTTTCTACTATACGTTCCTTTCCATAAAGAAATCGATAAAAAATATGCTTTAATTAGAATTCGTTTTAGAATGGTGGGCTTCCGCATTGGCCATACACTTGGACTAATGAGTGGGGGGCCTATTGGCTATACACGTATAGCCAGAGCTAGCAGGGGTATATATATGTCTTATCGACTCTGTCAGATCAATGCTAGGACTTCGCGTATAGACAAACGGTGGGACTGATCATGTGTAGCAGATTCAAGCATGGCATTGCAGAGCTCGCACGATTTCGCCGACGGCGTAAGAGCCCTGAACGTCTTGTGATGATCAACCGCAGGGTTCTCTTCGGAAATTTGTATCATTAGCTTATCCTTGCGGACTACTTTTAGACAGCGGTATTAAAGGGCCATGAAGGTGTCTCCATCCTCGACAAAGGTGTAAGCAAAAGAAGACTTCTGTCTAAAAATACCTCCCCGCGGAGGCGACGAAGCTAACTCTTTTAACAAGGCCTAGTTCTTCCCATCGCAGAAGCTACTAGGGTCGGTTATCTTGAAATCAGGTTGTGTAAAGGTCCCAACACCGTATTTTTCGTTATATAGAATCAGAACGATTACGTTTTAGAGTTTCGGGAACGTCGTTGGAATCCTGCCTGCACTAACAAAAAAGTAACTAATGATTCAGATGCTGCAAAGCTGGAGTATTCCTATCAATTGCCAGATTTAATTGACCTAACTACTTAACATGAATAGTTCGACGTGCTGTACATGCCTTATCACCTTCCAATCCACCAATTCAAGTTTCGTTCGCCGGTTGTGTGTATACATGGCCATCAATAGTAGTGTTCATAGTCCCATTCGCATTGAAAATATTCGTCAAAACGTCAATGGTTAGGTGGAAACCATCGGGACTTGTCTGCTTTGTGTTTCTTGAGTTACCAGTCTGCGTCAAATTAGACCACCAGTCAACATGATTAAGTGTTAAAGAAAGATACGAGGAGCGAACCCTCTCAGATCCTTCCAAGAAGGTCGATCCGTCTTCCGAATAGTTGTGGTAGATGACACTAATCTCGCTGATAGATCCGTTCTTTCCGACGATCTCAACATCCGCATGTCCACGACTAAGACCCTGCATTGTATATTTGCCAGGTGATGGCACCGGTGGAGGCGGGTCCGCATCACCTGGGGTATATTCTTCACCCCAGGGGACGTTGTCTGAGATGGGCTTGACTGGAGGAAGCTTGAGGGGCGTGCGAGAAGTCAGAGTTGCCAGGACCACACGCACGTTCCTATGTCCTGGTTCTTTGGAACGGTAGCAGGGAAGTGGATTCTTGCCACCACACGCCGGAGGAAGAGTATGAACATCGCCATAGACAATCTGAGTACCATCGGGAGACCATCTGGGGTCAGCCATGGCATTCCATTCCGGGTCGTTGAAGTCACCACTGCCACGGACACCCTCGCCATCTCCATTGATCTTCTGGCCGAAGTAGTCCCCACGATCACCATAGCGATCCAGAAGGAAGGGTCTGAAGAATCGTCTTTGTCCGTTGTTTCTGGTCGAGGACGTGGCAGATGTGCTAATGAGGTCGGTAATAGGCGGGATGTGTCTCATCCCAGAGAGCCACATCTGTCGGTCAGTTCCGCGTGTGTCCTCAATTGCGATCCAATTATCATCAGGAGAAACGGCAATAGGATCGCAATATTCCGGGTGGGTAGTAAGGCGCCGGACCTTGCCAGTTTGCAGGTGAATGGCAAAGACGTCAATGTTGGAAGACTCGGCAGGGTATCCAATGTAGGTAGCTTCGGTTCCTCTGCCACTGAATCCGCGGAATTCTCCAACATACATAGAGTCCCGGTTGACAGCAATAGAATTGCCATTTGTCACGAAAGGATTCGCTGTTTTGGGGTTAAAGAGCCGAGTAACTTTGACCACGTCGTAACGCGGGACAAGCGGTTTGCCAGCTTTCGGTTTTGCGTTGAACTCTAGTCTTCCCAAGTATGCAAATTGTCCTATCTTGTTGCCAGATACTGTAAAGACATTAAAACCAAGATGGACGTCGTCGGGGTGCAATCGCAACTCTCGAATGGCGCCGCCCTCTCCTGTGTCATCAAGACTTGTATTCCACCGGATGGGGTAGATGTGAGTGCGCTCAGGTGTGCAGTCTTGGTCAACGAGATTGTGCTCTCCGCAATCTAGGATATTCGAGCCAAAGAGAATCCTCTTGCCATCGTTGAAAGCCTGTGGATAGTTGTATAGTGTGGATATCCCTCTTTTGTTTTCTTCGGGCAAACCACAGGTTAGACACTTCCAAGGGCTGCCACTAGAGAAATTGCTACCGTCAGTCTTGACGGCAATGATCTGACTGCCATTGTAAATGCTGGCTGGGTCCGAAGATGTAGGAGCGCCGGTGAACCCGATGCGAACTAGGACGTGCTTCCCATCTGGTAGAAAGCCACCCGCTTGAAAGTCTTTGTTTGACGCGACAGTCATGCATCCTGTGCCATGTGGATTGACTTCTGAGGTACAGGCTCCGGTCTCATTGCTAGGAGCAACAGGTGGAAGAGGAAGGGTTGTGAGGCTAATTGGCTCAGGGTCTGGTGGCGCGGGTATAGACGTGTCGGCTCTCAAGGCGAATTGGGCGTTTGGAAGAGCCAACGCCCCGGCTGCAAAGCTCAGCACGAGTGACTTATGCATAATATGCAATAGTGTTTAGTGGGGAAGGGTTGTCAGGACGCATGTAAAAGACGGATCAGATGAAATCTCAAGGGCAACATATATGAATGTCATGTCCTTTCTTCCTCAAGTGCGTCAGCTCCATCTTGTGACATCATTATTCGTGAGTCGGCGATATTTAAAACAAAACAAGCGATGCTGGACAATAGTTACACCCTATACGCGTATTTCGTATCTGAATATCTGGCTACGCGGCGATGAATGGCTCGATACGTCGGCTCAAGCGCTAAAACCGGGGACTTGGCCCACTCTGTCATGGCTTGTACCATCTAAATGCCGATCAACGATCCACGTCTCTACGTTTCATCACGCCACATGGCTTCAACTTGACTAAATTACGCATTAGCCCAAGAAATGCAAGGCTGAGGGTCCTGTACATAATGGCAAATGTAGAACCGTAATTAGTAAAGCACTCAGTCACGTGTAAGGCTGCTTGGTTGGATAAAACCGCTTACCGTATCCTACCTTAAATAGAGAAATCCAGGCTTTTAGTATCCACTTTGGTATGCTCTATTTTAAAGAAAATAACTGCTAACAACAGTTAGGAATTTGTGGACAATCACGTTCTGCTACCAGCGATTTGTACTCTAGACGGGCACTGTCCTCAACATCGAGGACAATGGCGTCTGGACTATGTTGGCCAGAGGAGATCCCGTGTAAAATAAGACTCGCAACACGGGAACAGGCAATATCGAGTAGTTTCTGACGCTGATCCTTGCTCGTCCTGCCACCATGGGCGCCCACAATAGGGTGAGGGATTAATGATAGGCGAGAAATTCAGGGCGATGCGTAAGCTAAGACACCGAAGCAAAGAGTTAGTGGTGGCGTGCATATAACATCTCGTATGGTCAGTTATGCTAGGGAGGATGCACTATTTTCGCAAAAAGTCTCATATAATTAAACGGTAGAGTCAGTATTCTAAACGGACCTGCGAACGATTATCTCAATGTCTCCGATATGCGGAAAACCATTTAGTAGCACTTTATATTACCTATCTTCTCCCAAACTTTTATCAACCTTCATTTACCACTCCAAGACAATTAAATATATTATAAAAAGAAAATAAGTATATTCTTATCTCACTAGACTATCTGATAAATAGCTTATTAAACATTTTTTCTCCAGTCTCATTTATATACATCTTCGAAAGAGTATCATCGCTATCAATAGCCAGATCATATCTCTTTATTGGCTGCCGTCTTGCTCACTTACGTCCAAAAACAACGACCTAGATCTCCATTTTCGGAGACACAGGTTGCAAAAAAAGGCCATCCTCAAACAGAAGACAAAAACTATACGGGATCCCGTATTTTCCACTACCTTTGGTCGTATATACTAACTATGCTTTATTTGTGCACTACCAGGAAACACTCTACTTGATCACACATAGCGGTGTGCTTCGGGCCGTAACGACCCACTGAACCCCCTCATGTCATATACCAGCAACCCGCACCACGTCAACTCGTGCACACTCTAAACTCATTTTAACCTGTATTTTTCGCCATGGTCAACAAAGAAATCCAAGAACAACTCAAGGCCTTTGTCGCCGAACGAGACTGGGCACAATTCCATACCCCCGAAAACCTCGCCAAGAGCGTCTCCATCGAAGCCGCCGAGCTCCTTGAGTGCTTCCAGTGGGGCGCAGAGCCAGATCCGAAACGCGTGCAAGAAGAACTTGCAGACGTCTTGACCTACTGTCTGCTTCTTGCAGACAAGATGGGTGTCGATCCGGATAAGATTGTGTTGGATAAGCTTGAGATTACAAAGAGGAAATACCCCGTTGATAAGGCTAAGGGCAGCAGTAAGAAGTATGACCAGCTTGATGATGGTAAAGCTTGATTCCTATGTGGGTGTTGGAAGGCGGGCGGCGGGAAATAGGGTTGTTGTGTCTTGGAAGATGGAGGGACGGCGCCATGTTGGGGATGGGCCAGTTGAGGAACATTTATGTCCCGTTCGCAAAAAGCAGCAGAACCAACGCCTCAACAAACTATCAGGAACTCCCAAGTTACATTCAGTGAGGAGATTAACAAATCTGTTTGTCTGTAGGTATTAAGAGGATGGAATGAATTTCCCGGGAATCTTCTTCGTTCTGGAGCAGGACTATTCTGTCATTGTTACGGGATTGAACATATTCAGACAGTGTATTGAATTCTGCTCTCTTTCCTCTACCTCTTTAATTACCCACTCATTGGTGTCTCAGATAGCCGAGAATTCTACAAACGTGGCTTCAAACCAGCATTATTCCTTTCTGCGTTTCTCGCTTCATTATTCAATCTCCTCCACATATTCTTCCGAAGCTCATGTCCTTCCAAAAATGTCCGGAACCACTCACGCCTGAACTTGGTTAAATGTCTCCCAACCCCATTTGGTTCACCAGCCAACTTTCTCAGAGTCTCAAAATAGTCCTCAAAGTCTGGAAAGATGAGAGCAAACTTGGGTCCGTCGCCCCGAGCCTTGATCCTCTCCTCCTCCCAACTTTCCATCTCTTCTGTCGATGGTAACGTGCTACGGCCGGCGAGAAGTCTGGCTGCGTAAACAGCCTGCCATTCGAAGATTTTAAAGGTTAGACCAGCCTGAACTGCACCAACAAACAGCAGAGTTGGGTCATGTCTCCAAACTACATGTTGATACAAATCGGGCACCCGGTTGTTTCGAACTGAGACATCGGGTAAAAAGGGCAAAGTCCAGCTATACCCAGTTCCAAATATGATGTGGTCCACATTTTCTATCGAACCACCATCTTCTAGATAAACAGTACGATTGACAACATTCGTGATAGAAGGGTGGTTTTGGATATAAGGGTTATTGAAAGCTTCGTCTCCAAAGTATCCGTTGGGGTTATGGCCAATAGTAATTGTGTGAACTGGTCTCTGTGCCACGCTGACCAAGTCGAAGGCGATATCAGCTGCAGAGACTGACGCACCAACCACGACAACTTTCTTCATAGCTTGTCAGTATTGCTGAGGGTCTAAAGACCAATAACCATTCAGCTCACCTTTGATCTATAGAGATCTCTTCCACGGAAGTGTTTACTGTGAATCACACTTCCTGGTCTCGACTTCTCAAATGTCTCAAGTCCTTCAATAAAAGGGATATAAGGAACATTGTAATGGCCGCTGGCAACGACTACCGCATCGAACCATTCAGTCCACCAGTAGTCGCGCTTTTGGCCTTCTTTGCGTAAAACAACTTTCCATTCAGTTCCGATCTTTTCAGCTCGCTCGACGGTGGTATTATAGGATACGAGGTCGGAGTAACTATGTCGCTCGACAAGACCCTCAATATATCTCCGGACTACACTCCAGTGACGAAATGGTGTCTTTAGACCGTACAACTCAACGGACCGTGCACTTGTTTCCGCTGGAAATGGTTCTTCAGAAAACTGCATAGGAACATGATCGATGTTTGTTTCCAAATACGGGTAAATTGAGGAGTCAGTGAACCTCGGCTGGTCTGATTTTGGCGTATAGGCAGGAAGTTGCTCGGGAATCGCTAGTGGTTTATCAGCGCTTCTGTCGGCTAGTTGAGCAAGGTTCGTCACTGCTTCAGGACGCTCAGTGTCGCCAACCCTATATACGTAAATAATAGGTTTCTTTCTAGAGCAGGATGGACGAACTCACCAGCAACCTCCTGGTCTTTCGCGACGCTCAAATACTCTGATAACATCGAAAGCTTGTTCTTTTGCTAAGGCATCTATGGTGATTGCACCGGCCGGTCCAGCTCCAATTACTGCAACACGCTTCACATTCGGAGTCGCCATGTTACTGGACATATATATGTAATAATGATGGTGAAGGAAGGGTTACGATATCATTTTATGAAAGTCTGGCTGTTAATTTTTAAATAATAGTAAATTTGACCAAATTGACGTTTCCCAAACCCCGCGCCGACGTATGCGACTTGAAGGTGATTAGATGGCAAGGTGTGATGGGCAAGGGTAAGCACGTCATCCTTGGTATTGAACTACTTTGGAATCAACGACGACGATCAACAACAAGGAACATAGGACGAAATCTTCCCAGTACCGAGGTCTTGGGACTCCAATTGAGATAAACCTCTAAGCGAAGTTAAGCTAAACAACTTGGCATGCAGCAGTCAAACTTGATGATAATTTATTGACGTTCCACTTTCTGTTCTCGACGCTAGCGGCGTGGCGTAGGATTGATAACATCTCGATGGCAGATGGTGTGATCCTTGGCCAATATGTTTGATGATATCGGTTGTTGATAATATTGCGCTCGAACTATCATTGCCTATGAACAGTGGCACTGTCATCTTTCTTTCTTAGTTTGAAGTTCCTAGCCATTCTTACTCTTACTTATACAAATAGAGACGCAGTTCATGTTGCTCACACTTTTCAACAATAATTGATAACTCAATATTGGAGTCGACATGGTTGTCTCATCCAGAGAGATAGTGCTTGAGGAAGGGCAAAGAGTCGAGAAGCAGGACGAAGGAACCGCTCAGGATGGAAGATCCGCATCATCAGATGATCAACCCGAGGCCACATGGGATCCTGTTGTGGAGAACAAAGCACGCAGAAAGTGAGTATCATATGATGCAGAAACCCCGAGAAAAATGCTTATTTTTACTTTATCAGAGTCGATCGTTCGGTACTCTTCCTCCTTTTCCTCGGTCTATTAGTTTTCCAGCTTGATCGAATGAATCTTGCCAGCGCACTCACAGCAGGGTTTGCGGCAGACATCAATGTTGATCAAAACACAATCAATCTAGGGAACCAACTCATGTTCATGGGAATCGTCATCTTTGAGATTCCATGCAACATGGCATTGCAGAAGGTATGACCCGAGTTTGACTCTTGCATCTGGCTCGCTAACTGGATTATGCAGGTTGGACCGCGAAAATGGATGGCAGGTCAGGTTTTGGCCTTTGGGTTCATTGCGACGATGCAAGTCTTTATCAAAAATCGCGCTGGATTCCTGGCTCTTCGTCTGATGCTAGGGTTTTCCGAGGCAGGATATATCCCCGGAGGAGTATATACACTATCAACATGGTATACTAAGCGCGAGTTGTCGAAGAGGGTATCCGTCTTTTTCTTTGGCATGTTTGGTGGAAATGCAATTAGTCCAATATTAGCTTCGGGTATCTTGAAGCTCGAAGGTGCTCATGGTATCAAAGGTTGGCAATGGCTATTCATGCGTAAGTCGACTTGATCGGTTACAGAATGCGTGGCCTACTAACGATGAATGATAGTTGAGGGAATATTCACAATAGTTGTAGCATTTGTCCTGCTGTTGTTCCTTCCAGGGAGCCCAGACATCCCTCGACCATTGGTGGGCTCTGGTCTTGTTCGCTTCTCTTCCTCTGAACAAGATATCCTCCAACGGCGGCTTGAGCTAGATGACCCGGAAGGAAAGAGATCCGGAGTTCAGGGACTTGCCATTGACTGGGCGCTTGTTAGAAGAACTGTTCTCCACTATCGTCGGTGGCCCCATTATGTTGCAGCCTTTGCTGTCTTTTCCACATGGTCACCTCTGACGACATACACGCCCTCCATCATAGTGTAAGTCGACAACATTCCTGAATGCTTGTCTATTTGCTAACCTGTACAGGTCTCTAGGATTTGATCGGATCACTGCCAACGCTCTTGCCGCAGTGGGAGCATCATTGGCACTCCCTGTCGTCTTTTTGTTCGGTTATCTCAGTGATCGGACCAATCTCCGCGGTGGTACAGTCATTGCTGGTCATGTCTGCTATCTCATCACTTTGATCATCTCCAGGCAGCTTCACCCACATGTTGGGAAATGGTTTCGTTGGGGCCTTTGGACTGCGGTCAACAGTTTTGCCGTAGGCTATCACCCTGTGTCGAACTCTTGGGTTCAACTTAATTGCCGAGAGGCTGGTGAGCGCAGCATAGCTATCGCGTGAGTATTGCTATATTGACTCTAAGTACTAATACAACTAACCAATCACTAGGATGTGGGTTATGTCAGCTATTAGTGGACTCATGGTTGGTACTCAGTACTTTCGCCCAAATGACACTCCTTTGTAAGAATACTTTTTTTACATGCACCAACTTTCGACTTGTCTAACTATGACATAGCTACCAAACAGGTCTCCGTACTATGATTATTATGGTAACTGTTGGTATTGTCTTCGCTTCACTTCAGATTATTATATATGTTGTCCATAACAAAAGGGTAACCCAGGGCAAATATGGTGGTCGAGGAGGAAGGCCACCAATGATCTATACACCATGATCTTACCACTTAGTACTGTTCTGGGTACGGAAAGTTAACATTAATAAATCTCATACTCTCAATCCCTTAACGTATTCCTTGGCAATATCACCAAAGCCTACCATACAGATCGTGGCCCAGGCTGCTACTCCAATTCGAGGTACAACACCTCTAAAAAACCCCAATGGGCCTGATGTGGCCAAGATGCGCTTGGCGGCAGACATCATAGATGGTTTTGATGTGTTCTGGCCAGAAGCCCGCGACTGCATTTCCACGCGAAGGACCTTAGAAGCTATTAGTATAAAGCCGTAGCGTTCTTGTGGTTACTTGACTTACTTCGAAAGGCTGATTCCAACAACTCAATGCTCCTCCCATGGTTGATGCAGCCATCTTCTCCCAGATACTGAGCTTTGCATCTGCCGTCTTTGATTGCATGGCTCGTATCTGGCCTTCAGCAAATCTCGTAATACCAATGCGAGACGCCCACCCACTGATTTGTCGTAGAGCAACAGCATTAACACCTCGATTAACACCGCGGATACCCTCTTTCCGCAGGATGTCAAGAAATATTTCTATTGTACCGGGGATACGTGCGCCAGGTTGGACGTTCTTTGGCCGCGTAACCTCAACAGTCTTCATGCAGGTCGTCATACCTTGCGGGTGGAATGTCAGCGTCTTTCGGTTGGTCTGGTCTGTATCATACAAAATTGATCGACTTACCCATTGTGAGATATGACTGAGCCGCACCACCAGCGACGCCACCTAGTGTACCAGCAACCGCCGGAGAGATGCCGAGTACAGTTCTTGAATAGTATTCGACTTCATTTGAAGCCAGGAAGAGAATGGACCCTTTTGTTGAACACTCAACCCATGCCTTTAAAAGAATCAGCAAGGTCGATAGAACGAAGCTGTTGCAATACCTACCCAAGGAATAAGACCTTGGTAAAACGCTCGAACGCCTCCGCGAGCCCATGTCTTGCTGATAGCGGTACACAGGTTGTCTCTTCTGTTGGCTGCGACATGTGTTTTCACAACTTCCATTGGTTGGCCCAGGGAAGTAACTGAGAAATATTAGTTGCAAGACGTTTAAAAAGAATTTTAATCAAGGTAAGGGACAGCACTAACCTTGGAAAATATTTAGGCACGCACCAACTACCAGGTTGCTCCATGAGATTGACTTCCGGGTTGACTGAATCTGCCCTAGGGTAGGCGATGTAGTGGCGGTGGCAGCCATGGTAAGGTTATTGCCAGTTGACAACAGTCCTGAGCTAATCTGTATCAACAGTTTGTGTTGTGTTGAAATATTGGAATTGGCACGCTATAAAAATGGTTGGTCTCTGTTTATGGTGCATGGAGTGTACTAAAGATATTTGTCGGAAGGTTTCCGATCTGATGAGACTCTTAACATCGGAGTTATCCGAGGGAATCTTCCGCCATTTGAACGCTAGTGCTAGCGCCAACTCCACTTCCCCGCGTCTTTTTACCGTTTGCTGATTTAAAATCCAATCGATGCCACTGGTTCAAGTTTGCAGATACCATCGGCGTGCAACGTTATAGTGACAACGCGCCTACATCCGATCACTTACACTTCCTACCAAGCTCATTTCCAACGCGAACAACATGTTGAGAGCTAGCCGGAAGATACGTACAGGTCACGCCGTTCGGTCTTTGGCCACCATTGCGGGAGTTAGGGGGCAAGCACCTTTGAGTCGATTTGAACCCGACCATAGCGTTGACTATGTCGGTTTCCTAGACAAACTCTCTCGTATGAGAAAAATGTAAGATGACTCTCTGTATCTGTAGTTAAGTGCTACTGACCCAGATATACCAGCCTTGACCGCCCTCTCACGTATGCAGAGAAGGTTCTTCTCACACATCTTGATGATGGACAAGATGACAAAGTGATTCGAGGATCAACACAACTGAAATTGAGGCCTCGGCGCGTCGCCTGTCAAGATGCCACAGCCCAAATGGCAATTATCCAATTCATGACAGCAGGACTGGACAAAACTGCTGTTCCTACCACAGTTCATTGCGATCATCTCATCGTTGGTCGAGATGGTAGCGAGAAGGATCTTGCTGGGGCACTCACAAGTCATGGTGAGGTGTATGAATTCATGTCAAGTGCATGTCAACGCTATAATATGGGCTTCTGGAAGCCCAACGCCGGCATCATTCATCAGATTGTGCTTGAGAACTATGCTTTCCCAGGTGGCATGCTGATTGGCACTGACTCACATACGCCAAATGCTGGAGGCATGGGCATGATTGCTGTAGGTGTTGGCGGTGCGGATGCTGTTGATGTCATGTCTGGGCTTCCTTTTGAGATCACAGCCCCTGAAATAATCGGTGTCAAGTTGACGGGTCAGTTGAGCGGTTGGGCTAGTCCCAAAGGTACGTTGTGCATGGAACCTTGATAGTACTGTTGCTGACAAATGAAGATGTCATCAACGCAGTTGCAGGGATCCTTGGAGTTAAGGGTGGCACTGGCAAAATCATCGAATACTTTGGCCCTGGTGCAGAGACAATATCAGCCACAGGGATGTCTTCTATTACCAACATGGGCGCTGAGACAGGAGCAACCACATCAATCTTCCCATACTCTGAGGCTATGTCTGCCTACTTGCGCGCGACTAGCCGACCTGAGTTAGCGCAAGCTCTGGAAGTGGCCAAACATGAGCTGCAAGCAGACGAGGGTGTCAAGTATGATCATGTTATCGAAATCGACCTATCTACACTAGAGCCACGCATCAACGGCCCGTTCACTCCCGACTTATCGACACCGATCTCTAAGCTGAGCGAGGCAGTTCAGAAGAATAAATGGCCTGACCGGCTTTCCGCTGGACTGATCGGATCATGCACAAATTCTTCTTTTGAAGATCTCTCCCGAGCTGCTAGCTTGGCAAAACAAGCTCTGGATGCAGGCTTGAAGCCTAAGATGCCACTACTCTTGTCTCCTGGAAGTGAGCAAACTAACCAGACACTTAAGCGTGAGGGTGTCAACGAGGTATTTGAGCGTTTGGGCAGTAAAATATTGTCTAATGCTTGTGGACCCTGTTGTGGTTCGTGGGACAGAACTGAGATGACAAAGGTATGATTCTTTTTTCGTTGGCTCGGCACATTGCTTACACCCAAACAGGGCACACCAAATTCGATCTTGGCATCATACAATAGGAACTTCACTGGCCGTCTTGATGGAAATCCTGCTACCCATACATTCCTCTCTTCACCGGACATGGTTATGGCCAAGATTTTCTCTGACGATCTTGGTTTCAACCCTCTGAAAGATGCTCTTGTCACTGAATCTGGCGAGGAATTCCGCTTCAAACCTCCTAGCGGCAACGCACTCCCGTCAGAGGGGTATGAAAACACAGATCACGTTTACGATGCGGCTTCCACAGACCCTCAGGTCCGACAGGCCGTCACTGTGCAAATATCGCCAGACTCCCAACGTTTACAACGGTTAGCGCCATTCAAGCCTTGGTCTGGACAGGATTTCATCGAGTGTCCTATTCTTATAAAGACTATGGGTAAATGCACAACAGACCATATTACTACAGCTGGCCCATGGATGCGATTCCGTGGTCATCTCGAAAACATTTCCAACAATACCCTTATCGGGGCTGTGAACGCAGATAACCAAGAGGTCAACAAGGTACTTAACCAAGTCACCGGATCGTATGGGGGTGTCCCAGACACAGCCAGGGATTACCAAAAGCGAGGACTTCCTTGGGTCGTTATAGCAGATCATAACTATGGCGAGGGATCGTCCCGTGAGCATGCTGCTCTTCAGCCTCGATACCTTGGCGGTGTGGCCATTATTGCTAGATCATTTGCTCGTATTCATGAGGCTAATTTGAAGAAGCAAGGCATGCTCGCGTTGACATTCGCAGATGATACCTCATACGATAGGATCAAGGCTTCAGACCGTATTAGTATTGTCGGACTGACCGAACTGGCGCCCGGAAGGAATGTGCAGCTTAAGATTACTTCAAAGGATGGTACGAGTTGGGGGACTGAAGCTAAGCACACTTTCACTCTTGAGCAAGTGGAGTATTTCAAGGCTGGAAGTGCTCTAAATGTTATGGCTAGTCGACTCTCTGACAAGTCATCTTCAGCAGCGCCTTTGTAGATGTAATTGCAAATAAATGTTATTGCCATCATATATGACAGTTCATCCAGTAGATGGGTATTGTAGCAGACATAACACATGATTTCAGAATGTCAGCATTGGTAGAGTGATGGTACTCAACAGAGATAGCGGCAACAGGTAGTAGAAAAAACTTTCTGTGTAACACACTGCAATTGTAATCTAGCTATTTCCAGTAGATCGTACCTTCCATTAGACGCCGAGCTGTACGAAACACAGTTGCCTTGGTCAACTCTCCAGCGTCATCAAATGTGGCACCTACTCGCAGTTTACCACTAGCATGACAGATCTCTAGACCCTCTTCCTTTTCGCCACTCGTCAGACAATTTGCAACTATGCTTCCTGGTAGATTCGCGGCTGCAGCTGTGGCCAAGGCCACGGTCACTGGGATCGCTTTATGAGCTTGGCCCACTGACATGGCACGAACGTTAATCTCGCTATTCATCGGCTTCTTCCTTGGCGACACAAAGGAGATCTTTGGAACGCTTCCAGGCACGTTGTCGAGATCTGGAGCAAGGCCCATCTTGATAGCAGCTTGGCGACGGACGGACTCGAGTTTATCCTTGAGTAATGTGTTCGCCTCGATATCATCTGATGATAGCTCTCCGTCGACATCGAGCTCCGACGCGTAAACAAATACACATGGGTTGCCAACGTCGATACATGTTGCACGATAACCATCAATTGTATCCACCACATTTCCGGAAGGAAGAAGCCTTCCAGTGCGAGATCCAGCTGGCTTGACGAAGTCGAGTCGAACCGGTGCAGCTGTATTAGCCACCCCGTCAATGGTAAAGTCACCAGAAGCGACAGCCTCCCCATCCACTATTGGGAACGAAGCGTTGATGATTTTACCTGTATTTGTGTTATGAATTCGGACAACATAGTGCTCCTCAGAGCCCTCGGGAGCGGATACAAGTCCAGAATCAACTGCATAAGGTCCCACCGCAGCCGACATGTTGCCACAGTTGCTTGAATAGTCAACCTTTTTATTCTTGATGCCTATCGATACAAAGGTGTAGTCAACGTCAGCATCTGGATGCGTTGGAGGCCCGACGATACAGACTTTTGACAGGCTGGAGATACCTCCGCCCATACCGTCGAGTTGTCGTCCATATGGGTCAGGACTGCCTATGACACCACGAAAAATGTCATCTCTCTCGTTGATTGGTGGTAGATGTTGACTGTTAAAGAAAACGGCCCTTGAGGACCCTCCCCTATAATATGATGCGGGTAGACGATTCTGTCGGGTAAAAGTGCTAATGTTACGCGATTGGGTGACATTTAGAGTTCCATTTCGCCGCAATTGTCGATAGACTCTTAGCGAAGGTGAAGGTAGACGAGGCATAATTTGAAGAATATGCTGCAGAAATTACAAATGAGTTAGGGATTCAAGGATCTTCCAGAGACAATAGAATGTGTGTGAGTTCTCTACTGAGCATTCTTTCATTTCTGGTTTTGTTGTCGGGAATGGATATATCATACCGGACTGGTCCGACGAGGGCGGCGATCGGACACATCCGATTATCACACATCATCAAGTAGAATTGATTGGTCATTAATAAGCACTACTAAACACTAAAGTGGATATTTCTCCCTCGGAAAAGTGCCGATGCAAACATTCCCGAATCTCAATATTCGCATTACTCAAACAGAACGGGAGTATCCCGCGATCAAAATGAACGAGCGTGAAATGGATGCTCGGTCGTCCGAGCCCCCTTCGGTGTCCGGTCCACCGACAACACCGGGTCAAACTCAGACTCCGCGACGACAGTTGAAGAGGAACTCAGCAGCCTGCGAGCGCTGTCGAAAACGGAAGCAAAAGGTATCTCGATCTTCCCTATCCATCAATGACGCTGACTAACTGTTCCAAAGTGTGACGGGAAATTACCGTCATGCGGGCCCTGTCTCCTTGTCCGAGCAAGATGTGTCCCATCCGAGAGACTACTCATTCGGGTAGACCCCAACTGTCAATGCGAGACTCTGAAGGAGCGTGTCAGTGATCTTGAAAGTCAACTCGAGGCCTTGCGTATAGAGAGACGTAGAGATGTTGCTTCACCTGGTCCTTCTCATCACTTCTACCGAGAACCAGAGTATACTACAACCGAACGCGTCGCGTACCATGGACGCATACTCCTACCCACGTTTACCGAGTCTGATGGTGGATCTAGCCTGAGGCCTCCCTTGCGAGGAAGCCTATGGAAGCTTTGGGCAGTCGATACAGATAGTCAAGGATCCCTAAGACCAGCCACCAACGCTACTGGCCTTCCATTGGCATCCAACTCTGAGGCCTTAGTTGAGGTTTTCTTCAAGAATCGATGGCCTCAACTGCCATTTTTCCATAAGCCAACATTCATTCACGATGATTTTCTACCTCTCAGAAGAGGCGAGTCAGCCCATCCATTATCATCATTCAGAGTCAATATGGTTCTCGCCATAGCAAGTGCCGAAACAAATTCTAAGGACTCGTCTCAACAGCAGCACACTCATAAGGCCTTCTTCCAAGCAGCTATCAAAGACCTTAGTACTGTCTTGATGGCTGACGACTTGGATTGCATTCAATGCCTTCTTCTCTTATGCCTCTATGGAACCAATGAGCCTCAGTCAGTTAATATCTGGTATACTCTCGGTCTGGCGCTACGCATCGGCCTGGGTATGGACCTTCACCGGGAAGAAACCTGGAGTGCCGGCCAAACTCTGCTGTCTCGAGAGTTGGCTCGGCGAATCTTCTGGTGTACTTACGCCCTAGATCGCAGTATCTCCATAGCAATGGGCAGGCCTCTTGGCATAAACGATTCCGATATTACAGTACCCTTACCGCAGCAGTTAACAGATGAACAGCTCTGTTCTACAGAAGCAGTGCCGAATCTCACTCCAAGCCCCAAAGATATGTCGACTTTTCTACATGTCATTAAACTGCGCCAGATCAACAGTTCCATCTACACGTCCTTACATGCCGCCTCCGCGAGTGCCCACGACGACTGCGGCAGTCTAGATGCTCTACGCGAAGCCCACTATACTGATCTCAACACATGGCTCGTTACAGCACCTCGCTATGGACCAGCAAGTGGTGTGGCCATGTTGCAAACAGCAGAATGGTTCCAGATAGCTTATCACTATGCTGTCCTTTCTCTACATCGTCCATCAAGGGCGTTTTCCGTTAGCAACATCTCCTCACTTAGACTTTGTGCAGACTCTGCCATAAGTCTAATAACGTGCTACAACACGTTGTATGCCAAAAACCGAATTACCTACACATTCGTAGCACTAAATTCGTTATTCATGGCGGGCGTCACGATGCTGTATGCGTTGAGGTCCAGTCCGGTGATTCGTAACGAGCTGAGTAAAGGCATAGCAAAAGCCAACATTGACATGTGCCAGAGACTTTTGCAGGGTGTATCTGACGGACGCTCTGTTGGCGAAAGATGTGCCGTGGTTGTGGGTAGGCTCGGACAGGCCACAATGGGCGTGTTTGATCGGGGACAGTCACTTGATGACGATATAGACACCGAGTTTATGTCGTGGTTCGGGCTCAAGTTGAAAAAGGATCAAAACGCTGAGATGGGGAAACAGGTTACCCCAAGTGTTGACATCCCTTGGAATGACTTGTTTATTGATGGGTTTGATTGGTTTGATGCAGGGAACTATAACCATCTTGATCTTACAACTTGAAACCTACATATTAAAGAATAGGTCAGAGGTCAAGTATACTCTAGAATGAAAGTTTATAAGCATAGTATTAATAATGAAATAACTACAAATTATATCCTTGCTTTCTCAAAAGCCTTCCAAGACTAGCTTTCCAAATCAAGCGAGCCCAAGCCACAGGGATATGCTCCTTAAAGATTTGTTGCAATGAGAGTGTTCGCCGTAGAAACATGGCAAGGTCATATTCATATTTCTTTTCGGCAATTTGGATCTCCTTGCCGTTGATAGTTGCGCCCTCTCCCACAAATATATTCACCAAGCCTCTATGTCTATTCAACACTGCTTCAGTTAGAGCTGTCCCGCCACCCTTGTTGGTGGCATTCACATTCGCGCGGTGTTCAATCAATAGATCGGCTATGGCGGCCTCTCCATTTTCGGCCGCCCAATGTAGAGGCGTTTGCTGATATGAGGTCCTGACATCAACTTGTGCGTTGAGCTGGAGCAAATTCTCGACACATACAGTATGACCTTCCACACTTGCCATGTGAAGCGGCGTTGCTGAGGCCCTTCTTCGGTTAGTTTCGTTGATATTTTCACCCTTATCGACAAGTTTGGAAATGGCAAGGGTGTTGCCATAGGTAGCAGACAGCATCATAGGTGTCATGCCTTGATCATCTATTGCGCTCAGATTTGCACCAAGGTTCACTAGTAAAATAAAATTCTCATCTTCCAACGCCTGGATTGACCAGTGCAGAGGTGTCTGTCCATTTCTATCCGTTGCCTCAATACTGCGATCCAATTCTGGAATGAGATATGGATTGTTCACCAAGGCAGCAAGATGAATGGGAGCCCTCCCAAGATTATCCCTTGCAAAGATATCCAGAGTTTCGCTAGCATCATGAGAGATAAAGGTAAAGAAATGGCTTCTACTAGACAAAGCTGTACAATGTAATGGTGTCATACCATCAACTCCTCGGGTATTGATATCTGCCCCACTTTTGACGAGTAGACTTATCACCTGGAAGCTTCTGGATAAGGAGGCGTAATGAAGAGGCGTCCAGCCGCTGATATTTTTCGCATTTATATCTTGTTGTTCATGCAAAAGAGCTTTAGTCCAAACTTCGCATCTAGACCCATAATGAAGTGGTGTCCGGCCCAGGATATCCGAACTATTGACATACTGCATGAGTTCTCGAGGTATTTCGCGCTTTCCTGGTCTGGGCTTATATGACCTTATCCGATATCCGTGATAAATCTGTTGGTATGGGTTCTCTTGGTTTGAGAGAGTTGGGTCTTTTAGAGAGAACGAAAGGCAGTGGTGGAGTGGCGTAAAGCTGCAATCAGCTTGCTCGTCATGGTGACTTGGGAACTGGTCTTGGGCCAAGAAAAATTCGGCTTCCCAGAAACGTTCCTGACGGGAATAGAGCATCTGTAGTTTCATCAAGAATTCTCGACTTGGAACGCTTTTTAGGGCCGACGCGAGGCTGTTCGTCACGAGAACGGCGTCTTCGTAATGAATTTTCTCTTCTTTCCATCCATTTATCAACAAGTTATCAATGATTCGAACAAAGTCGACTATCATTGCCACCACTCTCCTATAGAAGTAGGTACTCTCTGGAAAGCGCCGAGCCAGATCAAATAACCTTTGATAGACATCGCCGGCTTTGTTCCAGTCTAGCGCACTTTGATGCTCAGTGGCCTCGACAAATGCCATTCCGATTATAAGGTCGAGGGTACCAAGCTGTGATTGAGCTTCGAGCGGAGGTATGAGAGCAAGATAGGCATCGTGCAAATCTCCAAAACCTTTGCTTTGGATGGCCTTTACAAGATCAGAAAGACCCTTACACTGTAGGTGAAAGTTGTTAGAATCTTGCTATGAGTCAAGAGTGCCGAATGACTCAATCCCAAGGCCCTGCCATATGGGCTTGTTGAGTGCTGCAACAGCGTCCCAGATGAAGGTATGGAACATGTGCTTGGCATAGAGTCTTTCCAGACTATTGTGGGACTGTATTGCTAATGACTTTGGTCGCTTTCCGTGTTTCTCTGATTCAGTTTGCTCGAGCTTGGGTGAGGTTTCACTGTCATCAGGTTGTGTAGAAGTTGAATTATTGACAATTAAATCTTTCAAACCTCGACCGATTTCTCCAGTACCAGCAACTTGCGATTCTTCGTATTTTCCTAATGAAGCAGCTTCTTCGTCGATCTCTAGAGGCATAGGAGCATCAGGAGGCAACCACCATCGTAAAGCCCACGACAGCTCTTCAGTCTGTTGTCCAAGGATGATGAGGCCCCCTTCTGCCTGTGACTTTTCCCCCTAAGCCAAGTATCGTCATTCGCCTTCAATAGATTCCCTTTCACACCCAATCTGGCTCTCGACGTTTCTAAAATAGGTAATGAAACCAAAATACACCAGTACACCCAATTGTAACACAATCCCAAAACAGGCGGTCAGACATAGCAGACCTCTATCAATCTTTTTGTGGCAGTTCAGTGTAATATTTGGAGCTTCACGTTTGACGTTACGAAGTATAATAATCTCTAAACCGTTCGACGATGTTGAATTTTTTCAAGTTAGGTTCTGCTCTACTGAATCTTCTTGACATTGGGATTGTGTTTGTTCGGATTTGCGTTGGGATTCCACATCGGTAGTGGAACGGACTGCTTCCCAGACTCCAGGCCAGAGAGACAACATCTTTTCTTCGACGTAACCGCGAGTTCTTTTGACGGCTTCTGGTTCATGCGAATCGGCGACGTCTGCGACACGTGTAAGCGTTTGACCAACCTCCGTATTCGTGCAAATCAAATACCCCATTTCTCAATCAAGTCGCTTCCTGCGTCCTCCAAACACGTAAGTCTTATGGGAGTGTCTTTGGTGACGTCTTGATGATCAGGCAAGAGACAGATAATCTCTTTGACTGGAGCTAAACCTTGACATCTCACTACGTCCAGACCGTTGTATAATTCACAGGTCTCTTGTGACGTAGAAGACATCAGTTCCATCTCAGCAGCCGAAAGATTCTCTCTTGATCTTCCTATCACGGCTTTAAGCCACGGTGGACCACTAACTCTGATAGCGCTGACAATAGTAGTAACAATACCAATAGGAGCCATCGCTAATATGATGCAATCAGCCCAACCCATAGACTGACTGAGGAACTGCATAGTCACTCGCTCCTCAAATAATGCTAATAACCTAGTTCCAGTTAGTACAAACCAGAGATGAGAAACCTATTGCACATTCGGGGCTAAGTCTAAAAAGAGGTTATTGCTGAAATCATCACCGGAGTCTGCTCCGCTACTTGTGGCGAGCAGCAAAAGCAGAACCAATGCATAGTGCATCTGATATGGCATGCTGGAAAGTGAGATGATACGATTAGCTCGAATAACAGTTAGCGTCGACTGATCGATAAAAGTCTGTGCCTTGAGTTAAGTTTGAATTAAAGATAAAAAGTCGACATCCCCGAAGTGCGGGGGATGGGTTAATGAACCAAGAAAAGATTGACAACTGGACTGAACTGAGACATGTTGAGGCTTAGCCGCAAACAACAGGGTAGTAAGCACAATAGTTTCGAGATTGCAACAAATCAAATGGGTTTTCATATTTTAAGGCTACCCAATTCACAATTGTAGCGAACCAGGTTCAGTTATACTCTTGTACATTAAATTTCAAGGCGCCGCCACGGCTTTCCACAAGGCATTCTAATAAGTTTATCTTTCGCTTATATTAGTAGTGCAATGGGGCAAATAGCTGATATAAAAGAATTAAGTTTTCAAAGTATATACAGAAATAGTTTAATAGACGTGCAACTGAGGAACTGTGCTAAATATATAAGCCATTCTACTCAGTGCATCCAGGGCAGGTATAGCACGATGGATCATCCCAGGGCCAGTTCATTGAAGCGTCCCTCGTTGTATCGAGAGGAATAGGGCCATCCGTCGTAGAGAGCTTGAAAGCAGAGAATCTACAACGTCCGTCTTTGTAGGCCGAGCCCTTACAGTCCCTGATCGCTTCACAAATAGCGGCACAGGCCCCAGCAGAGTCCTGGCGTGGATATTGGTCAATCCATTGATCTCCTGTCCAGTATCCACCACCCATGTAGGCATTAAGTCCGCAGACGGTCCCCTGTGGAGCGTCTTTGCGAGAGCAAGCATCTCCTGGTTTGTAAGAACATCTCTCAGGCGGTGTATTCGGAACCGAAGCTGCAATGCAGTCTGGGCATTTATAACAACGCTTATCGACCCAGTATGAATGCTGCCAGCTCCCACCTGGAGTGTTAAAGTTGGTAAAATCGGATTCCTTAATCCTGACATTTGTGAAGATACAACGGTTCTCGAGTTGCCAGTAGCCCACAGACTGACAGTTCTCTATGCTCTTACAGATAGCGATACACTGATAGGCATTGTCTTGGTGGGGATAGTTGGTACGGGACTCTGTCCATGTTGGGCCAGTAAAGTAAGCGCCGTAAGCACATAGGGCGTCCTGGGGGTAATTGAACCTGTCAAACTCGCACTCCTCACCATGAGTGTACTTGCAAACCTCAGTTGGCGTCTCAGACTCAGAAGTGGTGTGAGAGGTAGTAGTGAGGGCTTCCTTTGTCGTAGTTGTGAGAGATGGCGTTGATATCTCACTTGTTGTATCGGGTTGAGGAAACAAAGAGGTTGGAGTATGAGAGGGTGTGGAAAACGTGGATGTATCCGCAGTTGGAAGCCAAGGCGAGGGAGTCCGCACGGGCGTCGAAGCTTCACTGGTTGTGTCTAGTCCGGGAAGCCAGGATGATGGAGTTCGCAGAGGCGTCCCACTGGAGGTATTAGGTCCAGGCAACCAAGACTTCGTTCCAATAGGAGTTGGCGTTGAATGTTCCGATTCTTCACTACTCGTGTCCGGCTTGGGAAGCCATGTAGATGAAGATCCAGGTCCTTCGGAAGATTTGGTCAAGACTGTGGAAGTTGAGGTTATTTCGCTTGAAGGTTGAGGTCCAGGCGAAGAAGCGTCAAAGTCCAGCTTGAACTGATCGATGTTCTGTGGCGTTACTTGGTTGGACACAAACACCGAGTCAATATATATCAGCGCTTGTCCATTACCCGTACACGTCATAGAAATGCCGAAATTCGCATTTCGAGAATCAGCAACAACTGATGTGAGGACTCTGTTCCACGAGATGCTTAGGCCAGTACTGAACAGACCCATAGAGTAGAACTGTCTGTTACTGAGGGAGGCACTCACAGTGCACGTCTGGGCTCCTCCAACGGTAATGACGGCGTAGTAAAACTGGACGGTATAGAGGACAGTGTTACTTGGTTGCAGAGACTCGAGAAGCTGCGAGATGCCCGCGAATGAACCCAGGAATCGTTTCTTGGAGTCTCCAACTGCTTTGAGGGAAGCGCAACCATTATCAGGGCTGCCGTCATCCTTGAAACATCCTCCCTGCTGGTGGTTGGCCTCGCCTTCGGAATCAAAGCCGTCGATACCATTAGCAAATCTACCGTTGGCTAAGCTGTTGGTGATTATAATATCGCCCAGAGAAGTAGTAGTGGTTGGTAGATCAGTAGACGCGGTCTTAGTCGACACAAGATCGGACGAAGTATGGCCAGGTTTGCAAGGCCCAGCAACGGCACTGACTGCTAATGCAGCCAGCATGAGAGCGTTGCGGATCATGTTTATTGTAACGACAGTGGTTGATTATTGGAATTAAAAGAGTGTAAGTGTCTCAGCCCAAAGTACGGAAACAAAGTGAGAGATCTAGAGCTTAAGGTCCGGGAAGTAGAAGGATTAAATACACGGTTGTGGCGGTATAGCTCATCTACTCTATCAAGCATATCGGAGCTGACCTTTCCTTTTTCTTTGTTCTGGGCCATAATGGAATCCTTTAGTCAGGGGCGACGGAAAGACTATTGAAAAAATGACTCCTGCGTACTACCGACTATTGAAGTGGCTAAGCCTGACTAGGGGTTTTGTACTTAGCTAAGCTCAGCTAGGTGGACGCGCTATCTGGCTGGCAAATTGGACTAAGCTAACTTGCTGAACCTTGCATTTCCTTTAAGCGAGTTGGCTACAGGGTAATCAAGCTACTTGACCGCTAACAGACTCGCGGCCAGGGCTCAAGCATTCAAGATAAGCAGCAGGTATCCAAGCTTCGCCCACGTTTGTCTTTCTCTAGTTGAAAGATGATAGCAACGAGCTGAAAAAGAGGATTATCGGTTATGAAAAAAAAAAGATGAGAAAAAGAAAAAGCTACAAGGCTATGCAGGAAAGTGTAAAAAGTATCGAGAATTTACTCACGATTAAGCATCACTGTCGTGTCTTTAAATTCATCGACGGGTTCAACGGGCATGATCTGTTCAAGATTAGCCTGTCGCAATTCTGACGCAGGACAAGGCCATTTTAGGCTGGTTTCCTTTAAAAGTAGATTAACAAATTATCAAATAGTATAGACTTTAATTTTAGTAATTTTGATTCTTCAAGAAACTTTTCAGAGTTGGTATTATTCATTTTCGTTGTGACACCTTGAACTACCGTATCAATTTGTAAAATTCGGTAGCTTAGTGGGACCCAAGCTAACTCAGCCATTTGACCAATGACATGATAACTATTCTATGTAGTGTCTCCGACCAATTGACACGCTTGAAATGGACCCATTAAGCTACCGAATCTCACAAATTGATATGGTAGCAACTATTCCACCTGCGTACCCTAACAACAAGAACTGAATGAACATCGATTTAGGTCCCCTGTCCATTCATCTTGAGTTTGATAAGAGCTGTTCTAAACAAATTCACCGTGTAATTTTGTCCATTATTTACATAGAAGTCGAAAGTGCTCCCATCTTGACTGTTGAGCACGGCGCGTCATAGATTGAGGGCTTTGCGAAGTCTACCCGAGCCTGGGAACCCTTACCCAGTTCAATCAATGTCTCGCGATCTGCGTCGAATTCAGGCCACCCGAGCTGCGCGAGACCGGACCAAGGGTCATCGCTGAAAGAGAACCATGCGTGCTGCATTATCTTGGTTAGTGCTTGTTGGTCTGCAGATGGCGCAATCCCACTGACATCGTGAGATGCGCCAAAGATCATATGCAGATCCACCCCATGGTACGCGCCGCTCGAAGGGAATAGCCTTGTGTTGTTCCAGTCTGCCAGGTAGCGGTATGCCCATGAAGGTACCTGGTGGGCCTGTCGTGCCTGGGCCTGGTAAGAAACAGGGCAAGTGAATGATTCGAGAAGGAATGATTTGACCTGGGCGTCGGTAGGTGTAACTCCATTTCCATATGCAGGAATACGATAGTAACCATCTTCATTGTTGTTATGGCCAAACAAGATGGGAACCTTGGCAAATCTTCCAGCCTCGGTCAGACTGACATAATCCGAGAAGACAATCTCTTCATCGGGTTTGGGGTAAAATGGGGGGATGGATCGAAGAACACTGGAGCTGGAGGCAGGTTTTATAGCAGTAGCCGCTTTCTTGATATCCTCCCAGTTGACCTTACGCATGCAAGCCATTACGTCGCTGCTAGCGTCACAGCCAACTCCAGATACAACCGTCTCCCAATTCTTCTCCTGGACGGCAGCAGAGTTGACGGGAAAGCTAAACGCATTTCCAGATGGAGCAATTATGCCGTTGACAATTGGATCCTTCTTGTAGGCATAGGTCCAGTAGTCAACAGCCACGCCTCCGGATGACTGACCGGCGATAGTGATTTTTGAAGGGTTCCCACCGAATTTCGAAATGTTATCGCGAATCCACTCAACAGCGACACGCTGGTCGCGAAGACCTAGGTTCTGAACACTGCCCGCTGCACCAGGGAACCCGAAGATGTTGATGCGGTAGTTGACGGTAATAACAATAATATCCTCTGCATCAGCAAAGTACTTGCCATTGTAGAAAGGACTGTTGGTATTTCCAATAGCAAATCCTGCATTGTCAGGTTATCCGGCTTTGTATGAAAGATAGATCATTTACTTACGACCACCATAGAAAAAGACCAACACAGGTTTGTTAGCTTTTGCGGAATTAGGCGTGACCCTTGACCAAATGTTAAGTGTGAGGCAATCTTCACTTTGCGGAGTCCCGGCAGCGCTGGCAAAGTAGGAAATGATCCGCTGGGCCTGGGGTGTCATATCAGGATAGTCAACCTTCTTGCTAGGCGACAGAGGGCAGTCGTAGCCAAAATTTGTCGCCTCAAAGGGGATCTTCGAATAGGAAGTGATGCGCTGTGGAGGCGCGAACCTCAAGTCGTTGATGGGAGGCTTGGCATAAGGAATGCCTAGATACTCGACGACACATGATGAGTTGTCTACCGCATGTCCTGTAATAGGTCCATTGGATGTGTCGACAGTCATGTACCGGGAAGGATTGCACTTTGGTGCCGCAGCAGCAAGATTTGCCCAGAGGGCAAACACAGACGTCCAATTAGCCAAGTACATCTTGCAGTTTTGACCTTCTCAGGGGTAATAGAAGCCAGTCAGTGTCTCACGTCGTGCTGAGGGATCCCCAATTTTATCCAGCCGACTTCCGGACCGGAAAATAGCTGTGCGAAGTCCGAGTGCCTTTGTAAAACCCACAGTGAATGTAACCGGACCAGGGTATCGGCGGCCGACCTTCCTGAATGAACAGGGTAGGTCATATATGCTAGTTAACGAATTCGTAGTAATGAGCTTCCAACCACCAATTATTATCTTTTCTTTCGTTCTCAAGTGTCTCGTGTAAAGGGATAATTAGCCCAAGTGTGGTCATTTCTTGCCATGTCCTATTTCCAAGGTTTGTTGCCAAGTCCCTTGTGTCGAGCGAGTGATAATTTTCCATGTCCCTGCAAAAACTAAAGTCCCATGCCCTTTCATATTTCACAGTTGAACGACCAGATGATTATGTTTATTGCTCTTTCCTACTTGCTGATATAGGTTGCTCATTACGATATCTTTACTATCGTTAACGTATTTGATAAGTGAGCGACGCAGATAAGCGAGCGACGCACTTTTCCCTACCCCTTTCATTATTTACATAACAAAACTATAATAACCTATCTGATCAATTAAAATCACTCACTATACTCTTCTCCGGATGCCTCCGGAACTACCTGACAGGTCCTTGCATTATGCCCGGTCTTGCCGCATACACCATATCGCCGAATACCCGGTCCGACCGACCTTCCTCGACCACCACTTCTCGATAACTCGCCCACTACCTGCATATCAATATCTATCTGATCAATTACTTGTGATACTTCCTCTACAGTTGTAGGGTCTCCTTTCTGTAACCTAGTTCTTTTTGACCTTCGGCGCCGGCTTAGCTTCTCATTTCCCTCGCGAAGGTTTCGGATCTTATTTCTCATAAGGGTAGTCTTATACATAGTTCTCTTTACTGCCTTAGTAAGAGACTGGATAGCCTTAATAATTGACTCTGGAGAGCTACTATAATGCCTTCTGATTCGACTCTCTAGGTATTCAGTCTGAGATTGAGCCTTATTTGCTGTCGTTGGGGTCTTTGAAGTCCAAGGAGTAGAAGGTTTAGCTGCCTCTTTTGGAGGCGATGGGGTCTGTAGCTGCACATCAAGCTTCGAGATGACATGCTCAGGGTCAAAGGGAGCAAGCCCGGCCCCTCTGAAGCCTCCTCGTATATTTCTTTCAATGAAAGTAGCTTTAAAAGCGGCGTAAAAGGCATCAAAGAACTCGGTCTTGGAAATATGGGTTATAGAGCATCTGATCAGATGCTCTATCTCTTGCCCATATGCCTTCTTAAGCACTGCAAAGCACCCAACATCAAGAGGCTGAAGTAGATGAGATGCATGAGCAGGCATACAGAGGGTAATGATCTTGTTGTCCTTGCAATATCTCTCGAATTCGACAGAGTGATGACTTTCATGACTATCGAGGATCAAGAGGCGATAGCGACTGTTCGTTCGCTTAGCTGTAGACTTATCAAAGTGCTTCAGCCAGTCAAGACCTAGCTGGTTATTTGTCCATCCATTTTGGCTCAATGCAATAACCCAATCGCCGGGGAGGTTGCATTCTCGGTACTAATTCGCAAGATAATATTGGCCTGCACTAATGATAAACGGTGGGATCGATTGACCTTCGGCACTGATCGCCTGGATTACAGTAATCCATTCACGGTTTCCTGGCTGCACTGATTTTGGCCTTCCTTGCCTTTCTGCACCTGTGACGACCATTCCGGACTGCATGATGCCCATCATAAAGCCGGTCTTATTAAAGTTCCAGATATTATCTGATTGGATACCGTACTTTGCGATTGTGTTCTCTATAAGCCGAAACCAGCCACGAATAATCGTAGGATCTTCGCATTTAGCTCTCTGATAGTTATATCTCCGAAATAAACGCGTCTTTAGCTCTGGTTGTCGCTTAATGAAGTTATGAGCCCAGCGCATGCCAACAGGTGGCGCGTCGCGGTCAGCAAGAAGGGAATTAGCCATTTCTTCCACAAAACGCAATCGAGAGGGAAATCCTCGCGAATCTAGGTCAAGAATAAATTAGACTATTACATCCTCTTCCTGATTAGATAGTTTCCGCGAATTCGGGATAGAATCGCGTCGCGATTGAATGCCATTTTGACGGCGACGTAGCCTAGGCTCAGAGATCTGATACATTTTTGCAGCGCACGTACGCGATAAGCGAGCGGGACAGACAAGCGAGCGGGACAGACAAGCGAGCGGGACAAAAATCCCTCACCTTACATTAATACTATCAGATCAATTAATTCTCAACCAAATAACATGTCACAAT